CTAAAATGCCCCTTACTGTACCTATTCATATACTACATGAAAAAGATAAAACAAAATAATAAATCCCCTAAATCTGTAAATGATGCAACTACTGAGCACCCTGTAATAACATCATGAAACCAATGTCTTGACTTTATCTCTTTTATCATGTGTGTGACTGCACAAGTGTCGTAGGCATAGAAAGCAAAGGGGTCTGGGCCCAAAGATTTCAAAGGCTCAGACTATTCTCTTTCTCCTTGAATGAAATCAGTTCATGACAGCTAGAGCACAGTCAACATGGACAGCAGGAGAGCTGCCAGGCTGTACGTCACATATCGGCAACCAAGAGTAGCTGAGACTATTGACCAACAATAAACATTTATCGATATCCATAATATTGTTTTTTGAGTGATAATTATAGCAATAAAGTGTGACAAGAAAAAAAAAAGCACAAACAGAAATTTTGTGTATGGTAATGTGATGGTCCATAGGTGCCCAAGAAGATCACACATGAAGACAGGAAGAGGATACGGAGAAAAGGGAAGCAGGAGAGAAAGAGGGAAAAGAGGGAGAGAGATAGAAAAATAGGTCATAAATACAGAAATCCAAATCTGAAAGGCTATTGGAGACTGAACTGGGAAATAAAAGGAAACCTACATTAGAGGATCAAAGTAAAAAGAGGTTATAGCACATTGGTAGCATGGTTTATGGCAGGCACGGGTGGAAGGTCATAGAAATAAAGGTAGTGGGCAATGACAACAGAAAGGGAGACGTGAAACATACTGCAGTCCAGTCTCTCTGCTTTAATGCTCAGTATAAACAAAGAAAGTTTCTCATCAGTCAAAGTGCAGATCAGGATATGACAAATGACAACCAGGAGTTTCTCATTCATAATGGCCAGTGGTATAACGCAAGGTAAATTCAAGTATATGCTTGCTTTTTACTGATGTGTAAACCGGATCCAAATGCTGCATTAATTCATCTATTTGGTCATTAATTTAATGGAGAAATCATAGACACGCAGTCTCTAGAGTCTGTTAAGTGTGTCTCTGTGCCTCTAGAAGAGTGAGCCAAAGCTGGGATAATCAATGACAAAAACAAAAAAGAAATTAGTTTCTGATCAGAGGTTCAAAGCCTGTAAAGCAGTGATGCTGGAATGGTTTGCCACTGCAGCATGCAGCAGTATAATGCACGCCAAAAGAGCACTGCCATACAGAAATTCAGTTACTGTACTCACATATGCTCAAAAATATTAATGCTATGTTTATAAATTGTGCGCGTTTCATGGCATTTGCGTTTTGCAACTTTGTGGATACAGTCATAATAAACATTTCCTCATTATCCTTATCAGAAATAACATTAAGGGTGAAAAACAAGTTATAGATACAGTGCAACAAAAGAGCAGGGATCATCATGTCAAAAAAGGTGTGTTTTGTGAAATGCTGCAGCTCTTTGTGGTTAATAACAAGGAAAGTACTGTATTATCTTGCACACACTTTTCCTTCTATTGGTATACTAAGTGCTTATACCCAGAAAGATGAATGGTGTGAATGTGCACACATGTAGAAAGGAGAAGGTGGGGCAATATTCAGAGTAGAACCACTTCTTCAGCTACCATTACACCACTGGTCATAGCAGGGAGAATGGCCCATGCAAAACCATACATCCAAAGAGAAGCTGGTGATGAAGGTCAAGTTTATGACATGGATGAAAGAATGATCTCATGTTAGAGAAACTGCAAAAGTTAATAGTTGTTTTATATAGTTTTACTCCAATGTCAACCTTAGCCGGGGAGATCTGGATGCAGCAACAAAACCTGTCAACACCTGTCACATGTGTGTCCATAGGAGCAAATTTACAAAGGCTGTGCTTGTTTTGACCAACACTTTCTGACATGAAAATTATTACAGTGTTTATCTTTCAACAGCTGGGTAGCATTGTGGCTTCTGTTTGTCTGTGGCATGCAAATTGCACCCAGCTATACCTGCAGAGAACACAAACTACACAAGCCAAATTATAAAACAGCTTTTGGCACAACAGATTGAGAAGATCCTATTCCCAAAAGTACTTAAAACTAATGATGTTTGCAGAGATCATCCATTCTAAATTGCATTCAGATCCCTTGAATTGGTATGCGTTTGCGGCACTTGCATATGCATATCTTTGAAAAATGGGCGGAAAAATAAAAAGAAACAGATCAAACTCAACATTGGATCAACAATGCAATCAAAATTTGCATCACGGTGCCAATTTAGTACACAAAGCAAGTATATATTTACAAAAGGGCAGCTGCTTATGGCTAACGTTACCAAGAACAGTAGAGAAACTTACCGAAATTAAGTGCAGATACTTTTGCTAAAAATAAACGTCAGCAATTTCCCGCATGCCTTGAAGTGAGGAATATAAACAGCAACAACTTGGAAGTAATACCAAAAGATTCCAAAACAAAAATTAAATGAAAGTTAAAGTGAGACTGACTTGAATGAAGCCCATGTGAACGTTTTCTCTGGTAGTATTATAAGTGATCCAAACCTCCCACTGCTATATGGCTGTTGCTCAGCAAACACATGAAAAAGTAAATAACTGTTTCTTTATGCGCCATGCACTCGCAGCCATTTCTTTTTAGGGTCTCCAGTAAAGAACAGACAAAATTAATCCAGCTAGAAGTGACACCATGCAAAGAGTGTTTAAGGGTTGCATCCCCACCTAACTAGGCCACACACTGTATATTCAGTCAGTCATGGACCCTAAACTGAGTTAGAAAGAATGAAAGCAGAATGGATGAAGAACAAATATGTAAAAGAGGATAGTAAAATAAAAATAAACTCATTTAGATTTTTTCTTTTTCCATTGTGACATTCAATTTCAAAAGCTGAATTGATAATATTTAAATGAAATATTGTGGGTTCTTATGCATGTACGAAACATTATAGTTTCTTTAAGACATCCTGTACTAAAGAGTGATGGATAATTAAAAAACAAGAATGTGTTAGTTTGTCTCATTGCTTTCTGATGTCCATACCCTGTCTATGGCCCTTAGCACCAAGCCCCATTGGTTCGTATGGTTCGTACTGAAGATGTCAATCTTTAGTAACAAGTCAAAAATATAGCTTTACTTTTAAAAAGAGGTTGAGTACTCTCCAAACAGCTGTAGCTTTTTTTGGCACGTTGTACTCAAAGATGAGTAAATAGTGTGTTTGTTGCGAACTACCTTCAGCTGTTGATTAGTTTTGGGATTTAGGGGCATTATTGGCTTACTGTATGTTTTGCCAGGGTCATTTATTTTCTTTCTCATTTTTATTGCAATTGTAGTTTAATTCTTGTTCTTCTCAACGGCACCCGTGGGTTGGAAACATGTTATTTGTTTGACAAATGGGCGATTCTGAAATGTTTCCTATTAAAAATAATAAACCTGTCCACCACTTGCAGACATGTCCTTTGTTCTTTTTCAACATATGCACCTCTTCATCAGAGTTCCATCATGTCCTTTAGGTTGGTACAGTAGCATATCAATAATACAGTATTTTGTTTTTAGAATATTATGGGGTATTGCTTAGTTTTGAAGGTATGGGAATAGAGCAATCATTTTTACAGTAAACATTTCCAATGTTCTTAAATAAAAAACAATTACTCTCCATTTCTTTTTCCCATAATTGTATCTTTAACCTAAAGGGGAATAAATAATTTGCTTTAAATTTAGCTTTGAATTTGTGTGGTATTTTATTTGATTTCCTGGTTTTCATTTAACAAGTGAAAGGAAACATGGTTGAAGCAATCAAGACAGTATTGTGTGCAAGAAGAAAAGGCAGGCAAGAATGTACTGAAACTGAAGGTGAGAATGGATGTGAAACAGAATGATACTGACAGAAAGAAAACCTGACAGGCATTTTTATCTATAGAAGATGAAAAGATAGTTGGATGAAAAAGAAAATTAACTTGTTATACAGCTCAGGTGTAGTGTGATGGGGAGGCATCCCAAGTTGTAAAGTCCACACACACACACACACACACACACACACAAAACAGGCAACAGGGCAAAGGCTGACCGTGACCACCAGGGCAGAGAAGCTTTTAGTGTTAACTAGACAAAATGCTCTGGGTCTGACTGATCTCTGTTCCAACATTATTGTTCACTGAACCTGAGCAGTAATGGCTAATGCTGGGAGAGCAGAATACTATGCTGAGTTTTATCTGTAGCAGCGCAGCATCAAGGAGCAGAAGAAAAAAAGAACAGTGAGTATGCCTCAGCGCTTCATAAGGATTCAGCAGTTATTGTTGATCTAGTGCAGCCTGCTATTTGAATTTTTTTGAAGTGAGCACAATGTTTTCAAATGTAGGTAAGAGCATGAAAAAAACTATTACATGCATTTCTCCAGCAGGAAAATATTTGGCAGAGGAGATACTGTATGACTACAAACAAGCAGAAGTTTGGCATTTACAGCAGAAAGACTACAAGTGGGGTGTAAAATGAAAAATAAACTTTAGATGACCCAGTGACTTGTGTATTTTTACCTTGTCAAAGTTGGACTTTTCTACAAGCAGAGAGCTTGGTTGTCCTTATTTAGAAATAAAAATATGTTTATCTTCTCTTCTTAAAATTGCGTTTAATAAATTAAGAGCTAATTAAGGTTCATGTTCTTTTTTAATGTGCCAATGTAATCTTTAGTTTTCTAAATTTAACCATTAGTTAAAATCTTCATGCAATACAATGTCATGTCTAACTGAGGACTTGCTTTCATGCTGGAATCCATGTCCCCAACACATTTTATACAGTTTGTGCTCATTTCACCTACATTTGAGACTTCGCTGCTTCTCGTCATTAATAAAGACAATAGAAACATTACACCTACATGATGCAATAGCAGATGATTCATGTCAGACCCTTCACACAGCAAACTTAGAAAAAGCACCTAGTAAAAGTTGAGAATCCAAATAATAGAACCTTTCTGGTCATGGTGGAAACCTTTGTACACTGTGGCTGGTGTGTGTGGATGCTCGGGGTGGGATGATGAAAATAGTACCTGGGATAACAGTGGGCTTTGTGCCAGTTCTGAAGGAGATGATACCAGGCTCCGACTTGCCCTGCTGATTTTCTGCCACCACGTGAATCTCATACTCTGTATTCCAGTCCAGTGCATTCAGCACCACATGCTCACTGTTGTGGGGAAGGCGAAGCTGTGGTTTCCAGTCAGATACATGCTTCTGAGGAAGGAATATAGGAGGGACAAACCTCAAAACTGGGTAACCCTGTGAGATCGTGGTCATTCTATACAGACACAGAGGAAAGGGTCATTTTAGAATGACCCCATTTGTCAAGCTGCATATGATTTTGTGCAATGTTCGTTGATAATTTCTCAAACTCTACAGCTGGTGGGTTTACAGCATGCTTTTCAGTTTCACCTGAGATTATCATGAATTTAAGAAAAAGAGCCCACATGAATTTGTAGCTCCATTTTAGCACAAGACAAAAGCGTGTGAAATGCATTGACTATAATAAATACAGACTCTGGTTTGCTTTATTCACAGCCTGCAATTTTTGTCATAGACCTCAATTGTTGTCTGAAAACTATTAAAACAACACCAGAGAGCTACCATTTTTGCCTCATGTAATACCTGAGATATGTCTTTAAAAAAAAGCTAAAGGCTACCATTACTTTGTACAGTCTCTGTAAGGTCATCTGTTGCTAGATAAGATGATTATGGAGGAAATTAATATTTTCAGTCATTAAATAAAAACATTTCCAAACACAGTTTAGATTTTGAGAATGCAATTAAAAAACAAAAAATAAACAAACATAACAAAACAAAAAACAGCAAAGTGGTACCAATTTACCTCCTTGCTCAGCATACTCACAGCCTTGTATCTGACCAGGTAACGTTCAATGGGGGAACCACCATCATCCTGTGTGGTCCAGTTGACCTTAAGAGATTCTCCCCCATTTTGTCCCTTGACTTCTAGTATGGGAGCACTGGGTTCCCCTACAGAGGACAAACCAAAGAATTTTAATTAGTTGATACATATATGGTTGTTACATTAATGTGTTTAGCCTCTACAAATTACCACTATGTCATTTTAATCTGACTACTGTGTTCAAGTGTGATTGTGTGTTTAACGTAAACAAAGCTAAACTGATGGCTGGTTTGACAGTTGGAACTGATTGTCAGTTCTGTCTGTAATATTATAGCATTTCAAAACCTCATCAGGTCAATGCTGGTTGTTTAAAAAGTGTATGACATCTTTTGTCCATAGAGGTGTCAAATATTGTTTTTTTTTTCTTAAGGAAATGACAATTCATGTTGTCCTTCAGTTTGAAAGACTTGATGGAACCAACATCAACTCACTCTTCGAACCTATGGAAGACCATTTGAGAGATTTGAGGTGGAATATTCTTTTAAGAGCAGCTTGAAGGAACAACAACCAAAGTGACTTCCTCAGAGTTACTGGCCGAGATGTTGTTTTCCTTGAGGCTCCTCAAAATCTGCTTGGTCCTCCTGAGTAATGATTGCTGGGTCACTGGATAATAAGCGTGTAGGCCTTGACTAGCTATGTTAATCTGTTACTTTGAATAACATTTACATAGGCTTGTGGAAGGGAAGGTCAAGGTTTTGTGTGTGTCTAGTGATGTTGGCTTTTACTTCCATGCCACTGTAAGGCCTCTAAGGGAAGAGACTAATAACACAAACTCATCAATTATGTACATATTGGCTAATTACAGCCTTTGCCCTGTGTAAGACTCACAAGAAGTGTGTGGCAGGAAAAAATAATAACAAAACACTTGCTACACTGTATGTTATATAGTATAATAAAACATTATGCAGATTTAAATGTACTGCATACCCTCACTGGCAAGTCTCTGTGTGGGTAAAAAAAATAGGGGGCAAAAAAAAAAAAAAAAAAAAAAAAAAAAAAAAAAAAAAAAAAAAAAAAAAAAAAAAAAAAAAAAAAAAAAAAAAAAAAAATCAATAAATTTTTCCAGAACCAATATTTAATATTTAATATGTCAAACATCAGCGTTCATGGATTTTGTTAACTAAATGAATATGCATGAAGGCACTTTTTGTTTATCATACTGTGTGTAATCACTGGGGTGCACTGCATTTCGCCAAAGTGGGGTGAATATGACAGATGCTGGAGTGAATCAGACTGTTAGTAGCAGCAGCAGCAGCAGCAGTAGCACGGTGACAGATAGTCACTGGCACATTCAGTATTATTATCCATGAACATCATTCTGGGCTAGGTGAATAAATCTGAGGCTAAAACAGAAACAGGGGTGGTTAGAATGAGAAGCTCCAACATACAGGCTGGAAACTTTGAGTGCTGCTACAAGCATTGCCCAAGACTGCATACTGACACACGTGGTTCCACATGCTGCCCAAATCAATACAGCATGTCCCCATATTCCAACACACACTGGGAGATTAGTTAGAACAGTTATTAAAGCATGCGGTAGTATGCAGATTTTCCTTCCTTTTATACAAGTTGTGTGCATTCATAGTTCCATCTGATGCAATATGCTGGAAATCATTATGTAAGAGCTCTATTTGTGTGAATATTACTCTTTTTTATTGTGAAGTAAATATAATGACAAATCATTATTATACTGCAATGCCTCACACATTCCAACTTTAGGCCTGAGCCATGTCAAGAATTATATACTGTATGGTTCAGTACTGTAAACATCACTTAATGATACAAAAGTGTTATATAATTGAATGCCATTTGTGTGGAGGATGAATATGGACACATGAAAATAAAAACTGAACTTCTGTGAAAAATGTAATGTCAAAGGATTGAAAGAAGAATTTTAGAGAGCGATCCCTCAGAATAAATAAATCAGTAAGGAGTTTAACCTGAATATCTAAAACCTTATTTTATCCTTAAATATTTTCTCAAAAATCAGGGTTCACTTTAGCATTCAGGTCATTTTGTCAGATTTCTGAGAATCTATCAATGTATTTATTTTAGCATGTTCCAATCCTATCCCCTGGCTGAACATTCAAAAGTACTGTTGCTCTTAGGTGATACATTTTTTATCTTTTCCTTATATACTGTATAAATTGAAGTTCAAAGGAGACATAACACCAAAGACAGACACATGCAGTCACAGACAGTTTCACTGGGGAAAAGCAGAACAATGAGAGGAAGATTGCAACAAGAACGAGAAAATAATACTTGCATGCATAGTAATGCAATGGGTGGATGTAAAATGCTGTGGGCTCAAGAAGGGTTTGGGGGGCTGGGGGTGTGGGGCAGCTTTAAAGGTGAGCATGAGCATTATACTGTGTGTGATGCAGAATACAGTCTGATGTGATGTTTAACTGTGATACATAACAGCAATCAGTAGCAAAAAAGTGGATTTTAATGTGACAACAAATCTGCAGGGTTTTTTTTAGACTTTTAATGCCAGCTGGAAGGCAATGATGGCACAATTTAATGTTAGAACAAACAAGATAAAGCACACTGGGGAATTAAACAAAAAGAATAAGTGTGGTTGGATTAAAATGGAACTACGAACTCTGCTGTGTCCAATTGTTTGTATGTAAATTAATCCTTATTATGATGCTAAATAACCTTGTTAATTCTCATCTATCCAATTCTTTATATATTATCTCATTTGAACATTTTCTCCAGTAACTTTGATTTTTAAATAAAGAGATGAGGATTAGAAAGTTTATACCAGCCCCTGTATGATTTACTGGCACAGAACTATGGCCGACTGAAACAAGGTAAACCGTGACAACTGTAACTTTTATTGGAGCCAAAGGAAGAGAACAAATGCAACATGAGATTTTAAAAGACACAATGAATTACATATCACAACTAATACTATGGCATGTTTCATCATGGCTATTTAGTACACCTACAGTAAAAAGAACATCAGTTTCAAATTCACAGGTGAAAATTTTGTTTGGTACTTTAAAGTATAGGCACATGTCGTCTTTTGATTAGATAAAGTTTAGAAATCTATCCATTTTAAATGACAGTTTTATTAGTGCTCCTATGAAAAGAAGCAATCATATGTGAAAAATGAGTTTATAGATGGTTGTCATTACAATCTTGACATAGTTACCTTTGTATCAGCCTGCTGTGACAAATAACTTCAGATATAATATCTGAAGAACTGAAATCAAAGATGCCATTTTCACCTGGCATTAACACGTAATATGTATGTGGATATATCATCTAGGTAGAGAATACATCATTAACAAGGCACTGACAGGGGGATATCTTTGCACTGGTACGTTCTGACTGCAGTGGAAAATGGGCAAAATAATATAGTCTTAAGATGAGTGGACATGATGAAATACTGCTGAATGAAATAATGCTCAATGTTTACTATTGAACATATTTACAGAATGGCCTAAAATGGATGAAAATGGCCTAAAAACACTTTTAGCGTTTTAGTGGCTTGTCTAAAACTCTAGTTAAACAAATATCTTCTAAACGGTCACTGTTGATCTTATGATCCCAAACTAAAAAAATAAATAAATAAATAAATTACCTTCTGTTGGCCAGCGAAGAGGACACCATCAGCACCATGCAAGAGCCACATGACAAAGTCACATGATGTGCACGCACATGATTGGTTGAAAAGAAAATATAGGAAAAGGAGAGGGAGGGCATGGGGATAGGCGGGGGGGCATGTGGAAAACATACAAAACATTTTTGAAATGATGAAAACATTTCAACATAATGAACAAAACAAAAATATTAGAGACAAAATGAAACAAAACAAACAAGCAACAAAAAGAAATACACAAAAACAGATTTATTTGAATGCGGAAAAAAAAACACTGACATTATTTAAGCGGTTGCAGACTTAGTTTTGGCTGTTGAAAACATGCAGAACATCAGTAAATAAGTAAGCAGACACATACACTGATGTTGATACAGATTTAAGATACAACCAAAACTGTGCACCCATAATTCCCTTTAATGCTAATATTTAAAATAAAAACATTCATGCCCAATCTGAGGTTGAACTATGGATAGCTGTAGAACCATGGCTGCCATTAAAAACAAATTAGAGACAAAAAAGAAAAAAAAATATAGCAGCTGGTTTCTGTGGGACAAGAAATCATGGTCAAAAGAAGAAAAGAGGAAACTCTGCTTCTTTGAGTAGATAAACCAGGCCAACTAAATGTGATACCCAACACAGCAGACAACAGTAAGAACACATGAAACATCAGGAGACATGGGTCTGCATCAAGTGATGGTCTAAAAGCATTTGTGATGTGCTTTTGAAGGATGCATTTGCTCAACACACAGAGTAGTTGCTGGACTATATGATGAGAACAATTACATTCTACAACAATGTAAAGGTTGTATCTGACAAATGTTAATTAAATACAAGGAGCAACATCAAACATATGACAACTACTCCAGTGACCTGGTACCAAAACGCGCAAATCACATGTCTTTACACACTGCACATTGTTAACTCACATGTAGCTTTAGGTTATGGATGAAACACAAATTAAAACAGTCGGATAAGAAAAGTGGTTTAGAGGTGTAGTCAGTAATAATTTTATGTTTTTTTTTAATATAAAAATCACAATAAAATATCAGCAAGGGTTAGCAAGTGTTGCTGATCAGTGTCTCCATGGCTGCTGAGAGAATGGCTGTGTATGTCCTGCTGCTGAGTCTAAGAGCCTCCTTTAAATTACTGTCTGCACAGACAGGACAACTCCTCAAGACTTTGAATAGCACTTTCATAATCTGGATAATCTGCAGTTATGTCTCAGTTCCATTAACAGTATCCACATTTCCTTTAATTGTATCTTAGTCTTTCTTATTAAAGACACAAGGAAAGTTGCAAGAAAAAGATATGAGAGAGGGAATGAGAAGACAGTATGTTTTTGAAAAAAAAAATCCCTTTCCTCTATAATGTCATCCAAAGCAATTCCGATTACGGCAGCTCAGAAGAATCAGATGTCAGATTTAAGGTCTGTAGGTCTTGACATTGCATTTTCTCAATACACTGTACATTATGCACTGTTCAAATACTAATTAGGGTCAACAGCACAATTTTTTTTATTTTTTTAAATGTCTTTCTTTATGTTTGAATGTTTAAACACTTCAAACTGACAAACATTTGCACATTTACAAAAATTTTGCGTTCTGTGTTTATTGTGCTTGCATCAGTCAAACCACTTCACTGCTTTGGTTTCTAATGGTAGCAGCGTTTTTTGAAATGTAATACTTATTTGTATCTGCTATTTACTGATACATTTATATAAAATTCTATATAATTTATAAATCTATTAAATAATTTCAGTTTATTACATTTTTTTTATAAAGCTTTGTTTAAACATCTTATTAGTCCAAATGTTTTGGACAAAGTATAAATTATACAACTACAACACATCAAACTGTATTTCTACCAAATGCAGGAAGATTTGCAGCCTCACATGACAAAATGGAAATGAGAAAGCACTTTATTGTTCAAGGACAACAAACTGTCCTCCTTTCCATGAAAACAATATTCATGATAGAGCTCAAAAATGTTTCTCATGAGGAAACAGCCTACTGTCAGTCTGACCTACTGATTCATTGCTTTTAAAAAGGTGATGAATCTAAAAACAAAACAAAACTGAAAAAGTTAAACCTTGTGTCTAAAACGGCTTCTGTTGCCACCATATATCAACCGAAGTAGTGTGTCTGTGTGGTAAAAGACATCTGTGAAGGACAGCCTTGGATATCTTTGCTCAAGATTTCTCAGAGAGCCCTCTTTGGTCCTTAAGACAGAAATATGAGCTTTGGGATGGCCTACAAGATGCAGGATCGGGTCAAGTGAGGAGCGGGGAATGGTCAGATCAGATCAGATAAGGGAACTGGACCCTGTGTCTAAGATGAATCAACACCATGGTGAGAAACATTCTGAGGGCTCTCACGAGAATTCAAAGTCAGAACATTCAGTAAGAAGTTAACATGGAGCCTACTATTCCTCAATGTTTATGCCAAAATAACAGCACAAGCCTGTAGCTTGTTATGAGTTATAGTGTTCTCAGTTAATTATAAATAAACTAAAATTAAGCTCAAGTGTTAAAACTGAATATAAACTATCACTGTAAATAGTAATTAACTGTCAGTTTTGCAGCCATTTGCATTCTCACAGCAAACATTTATATTCTTAAAATATTCTGAAGTCATGAACAGACACACTGTGTTAATTATGTTACATCCAAGTCTATAGTCAGGAAGCTACAAGGACGACTGTCATGTCTAGGAGAGGCGTTAGTAAAATCATAATGTAGGAGCATTCCAGACAGCTAACAAAACTAGTGAGATTTTAATGGACTCATTTTGCTGTGGCTGTACTCTACTGAAGGGGTGTGTGCCCTCCTATGAGCCACACAAGTAATACAGTAACTGAACATCTACAATAACTGTGAGGCCAAGCCAGTAAGAGAGGTAGAGCTGAAGAGACACACACACTGCACACTGAACTGGCATACTCACTACGGGCCATACTGGTGGCAGCAATAGGGGGCGGTACCTCTGATGAAACTGAAAGATGGTGAAAACATGGTGAGAGGAGCTGGAGTTCTCCTCAGTGAGAGCAACTCAGTGTTGGGTCAGTTTTTTTAATGCTGTTGATTAATTACTTTGGAACATCCAGTTTGAATCCAGACAATGTGGACGGCTACACACTGGCCACAGCTACGATTCAGAAACAAGACTTAGGGATCAGGGTAAGACAGGAGTAAGCATATGTTCTGTCTTAAAAAAGCGGTGGATGTTCACCACATCCTTGTCTATTTGGTAGCATATTTGTGACCTCTGGGACACAACTGCTGCCAAGTCTCATGACAGCCAAAATACCATACCAAAATAAAATCACACCACGAGCACAAAGGAAAATCCAAAGAATGTATGGTAACTGAAGGCGTGAATAGTTCAACCCTGTGTGTCCAAGAGAGGCCATGTAGTGCTTGTACTGTACAAAGATGCCTTATGTCTCTCTTATTTCACATTACTATATAATATGGTATACTATTACTATACGACTCTTTTCCTCATTGTTGTTTCTGAAAACCATATATCTTCTTTAAACACCTCATAAAATACTGGTTGAACTGCTGCAGATCACAAGTACAATATAACCTACTTTATACTAGAGAGACACCAAAAGCAAGAACGTCTTAGCAAGCAATACAGAAGAAGCACAGAAAGCACTGAGGACTATGGAACAAAATAACTTGCTTGTTATAAGTCTGTCATATCGATATTTCACACCACTAAAGAAACCTGGAATATTAGATTAAAGATTAAAGGAATAAACTGTTTTATGGCAAATTAGCAAAACAGGTAATGAATGAGTAGTGGTATTTATGTGAGAGAAAAGAAAACTGGCCAGAATGGGTAAAGATTTCTGGGGAACATTTCTTGGAATACCTTATATGATCAAGGACATGTTTAGTGTAGTGTAGTGCATTGTTATTAAAGTTAAATTTTAATGTGGAGAGGATGTTCAAATCAAACAGAGGAATGAAATGGAGACAATTAAAGCAGACAAAACAGAAAGAAAATAAACTTACTTCTGAAAGAATACCCTGAGAAGTCCAATGGCAAACAGAACAGATGGAAAACCATGATGGGAAAACAATAAAGCAAAGAGAAGAAACAAAGACAATGAAATGAGAAACCTGAACAACGACTGAGGGCAACTTTGTCCTGCTTCTTCATCTACTCTGTGTCACATTGCTACTGTGATTTATTGGGCTTTCTTTTCTCTTTGTTCTACAGTTAAGTCAGACTAATGTAATCCTGGTACAGTATTACCATCCAAATCAGAAATTTGCCTTTTAAATGCTCCGACATGTAGTCACGGCAGGCATCTAATGTTTCTTAAAAGGACACTGGGTTTCTGGCTGATAATCTTCTCCTGCTACTCTGGTGTAACATATTAAATGACAATATGTAAAAACTCTATTGTGATTCCTCCATGTCCATATTCAATTCACTTTTATTTGCATAGCGCCAAATCACAACAAAAGTCATCTCACGACACTTTACAAAGTAAGGTCTAGACCTTACTCTTTTTATTATAGATGAAAAACCCAACAGATCCTCCTTGGCCAAGCACTTGGCAACAGTGGGGAGGAAAAACTCCCTTTAACAGAAGAAACCTCCAACGGACCCCAGCACTTCTGTAGATATCATATTAGGTAAAGCTCATACTGTAAGGTTTTTATATTCATTAAATTCTAGTTGACTAAACTGACAAAACACATAAGAGACCGATGATTTTACTGAAACATCTTGAAGTAGGACAAAGTCTCCCTCTTCGGTTTTAGAGGTTCAGGTAAAATACCATAAGTAGGATGCTGATGTAGGTTTTTTTTTTTTTCTACAGAAGCATTGAGGTGATGAATCACAGATGGAAGGATGACAAAGAAGCTAAAACAAAGATATATTCAGGACTATGATTTTAAATACTGACTAAGAGTCTAATGTTCTCTAATTGTAGCCTGAAATACAATGAGCTCCGCAGTGGATAGACAGATTAAAGGTTAATTCTGGTAGTATATTATTGAGTCTTTTTTTTTATTTTTTTTTTTTATTGAAGGCCTATCAGTAATAAAAAATCTCACACAGATCAGATAAAAGATCGCACAGATCTCACCAAGTTAACTGGAAATGTGGCAACATTGCTAAGAAAAAATCCGACAGGGCAAGACTATTAAAAAATAAAGGCAAAACAGTAGAATATTAGACTGGCAAGCTGTCCAGGATGTACCCCAGCTCTGACTCGATGATGGCTAGGAGGATACCACATTGACATACTACATGGGCTCATCAAAGATTTCTTGAGCTATTACTGAACACCAGTTTCAATACATATTGATAGAAATGAGTGTTATTGCCTTGTAATCATATGGAGTCAGTTTTCACAGCTGTTCAAAACCAGTACCCTACTGTACTTCTGTCATCACCCCGATCGCAGACATGGAAGAAGAACTGCTAGGACCATCCCTTTATTTCCCTCGTTAAAACCTTGATTACTTTCATTATAGATCTGTCTTTTACATAGGACAGGTGTTCTCAGTTTGAATGTAAGCACAGAAGTCTTTTGGGTCAGATTTATTCTTCAGGGAGAAAGTATCATGTGGCACATTGTTGCACATAAATAAGCATAAAGTTGACACATTCTGATTGGTGATGACAGGTGTCATGCACCTGCTCTTTGAAGTGAGGCTGCAGACACTGTCATATGAGTGAAACATCTGCTAGTTCATGAAGGATTATTCAAGGTGAGAACACAGTAGGTGACGCAAAGCCACTCCAGAACGTTCAACAATCTGGCGTGGGTGTCGCGGTTGATGAACAATTGTGACGTGGTCAAATCGTGTTTGCCTTACAAGCAGGTGTTCTTGTGTCTCTCTGTTAAATGTGAATTTTTCTCCTTTCCACCAAACACAGTTAAATAGTTCAAAACTTCAATAAAGTTCCTCCAGCTACCAAAATATCCAACCTTTTTATCATGTGTTGCCACCTCCTTCACAAAATATAAACAATCTTCAGCAGGGCCTGACCTCCAGCTGCTACATTAACAATGCACGCGGACAATGAACATTAAATACAGAGCTGCCGCTTCTTCACACAGACATGTAAAATCAGCCCTAACAATGAAAGCTTTCAGTAAATCACCTTACACAGCTATGGGCTAAAAAGGCAAAGCTCTGTGAAATCAAAGCAGGCAAGGTCTGCCTTGTGCACCACAAACATGAGGAAAGAAGCACTAATACTATAAAAGTGATGAAGAATGCAGAGGTAATTCTCTGAGTAGTTAACACTATTAACCAAGCAGGATCGTGAAGTGGCAGTGACCTCGTCAGTGACTGTTCTTTCTGACCTGGTGGGACTGCACTGGGGTGTGGCATGAGAATAGAGGTGCAAGGATCTGGACTCAGCTAGACATGAGCATGTGGTGGAGCGAACAACAGCATTAGGTTCAAAGCGCTGGGGGCAGAGGAGTGCTTACTGAGAGCAGGGACAGGAACAGTGAGGGCAGTACTTACGAACTGGCTCGGTCGTGAAAGCTCTGGGCAGGCTGCTCTCGCCTTCACCTTTGCCATTGATGGCAGACATCTTGACCTCATAGGCGGTCTCTGGTTTCAGGTCAACAATGGTGATCCTAGTCATGTCTGTTGGAGGTGAGATGCTGTTATTCCATGCAGATACTGTATACAGTGAACTGAGAAACTAAGACTAAGGGGGCCTTTTGTGCTAATGTGTGTGACATATGCAATTGACTATTATGGCAGATTCTGTAGGCTACATTAAAATATAGTCTGCTGTTAGTCATGAATGAAAATGTCACCACACACCACAATTCTTTTGTACCTTTGTCAAAAAGAAAAAGAAAAAGAAATTTTAAAAATCATGGATTAACATTTGTTTTTCTTAGGAACAGTCTCCAACAGGTCCAACAAAATAATATTAAAACACTAATTTTCTACCTTTTCATTTATATTATCAACCAGATGACTAGTAGCCAGAAGTGTGGAAACTAAGAGTGATCAAAATAAAGCATAAAGAATCTAATAATGTTTTTACACCAAGCTTTACTTTCCACTAATAATCAGAATGAGAATATGGTTCTACTCATTCAGGCATAACTTCCTTGGTTACTATAATATACCATTGTAGTAATACTGTAATATTCATGTATTTCATATTCATGTTGCATCTAGTTTTTACTGTCTCACTTTTCACTGAATATGAAATCACTAGAATAAAATACGTCATCTGGTTAGTCAAGGAATCTGTATTGTCACAACTTGGTTAGAGCTGTAAGAGTAGGGCCCTCAGATACTTGTTCTAGCTTGAGCCACATGGGTACATGCAAAAAGTTACCATTTTAATGCGTTGTTGTGTACACAGTGATCTCACCAGAAAACATGAGACTGAGCACCACCTGTTTTACCATTATTGTTGTGATCATTATTCCCTTGCATTAGTCACCTGGATAATTCCGGTACAGACAAAGTGCTGGCTGATATGTATCATGTTTACATGTTTTACCACAGGGTGGGACACCACAAGTTGGAATATTCTCCTAATGGGATTAACCGTTTGGGGAAAAGGTATGCATTTCGGAGCTTCAAATGTAATGCAATTCCAGAAAGTGTAAACTACTGGTGCTTTTCTAGAAGAAAACAGAATCAAATTTTGTGAAAAAAATGTATTACATTTCATTATACAGACACTGCTATCTGCATTATAGCAAGGCACCATTAAGATTTTAATCAGGACACAAGCGCACATACTACATACACAAAAACATCTCCTGTCTTTTGTCAAAAGGCCACATGGCTGATATCTTACTGTGTAATACAAAGAATAGTAATTTCATGGATGAGAGCAAATTTAGCCCTGGTGCAAAGCAGCTGAAAAACATTTTTCAATTACCGTGACGAAAAATTCTTAAATGTGCTTCACATTAATGTTTCAGTAAGAAGGACTTACAGAATGAACCATGAATAAGTGATGACCGAATGAATTCATAACTGGACTTTAAGCACAACCTAAATCAGTAAAACCGATGTCACTGCTGAAACCATTCATCTTCAGCTGAGGTTTCCAGGTGCCCCAAAGTATTTCACCATTGATTACCACATGCTGGTTTCCTCAGCTTCTGTAAATGGTTGACTCCACACATTACAACAACTGTTCAACTGACTTTGTATGTGTTAATCATTGTGTTGCTTCAGTGCATTCTTACTGCAGCGTCAATGAATGTGTACCGGCATCTGAGAAATCAATCTGTCTGGGTATTAAGGCAACAAATACCACCGATAGTTATGGTTACAGGCTTAAAGGTGCAACATTCAACTTTTTGTTTACATTAAATAAGTCAACCAATAAATGACCCCCAACCACATAATCAGGTGCACAGGGTGTATTATCCATTATCTTGGCATTTGATCTTAACTAAATCTTCTGGATTTTACAAATTAACATTACTAATATACAAAATACTGCATACCTGTGTCAAGGGGAAACTCGGCTTCATCATAATGCCATAAAAGCAATAATCCCATGATAGCTTGACCCATGAAAACCTGCTGCTGGCATTTGCAATGATGATGATATCATTATTATTTTGAAAGTTAGTTGATAGACATGAGGAGAAGTTTAGAGAAGAGAAAAGTACAGCCCATCCTTACACTAAACAGAAAGTAACACAATGCAAAATACAGTGTAAAAGCAAAGTAAGACCGTCTTTGTCAACCTGTGAGGCTATGCTGGGTGACGGTGAGAAGCACAGGGTGTACCGCTTGTTAGGATTTGACAACGGAAACGCGGCTATAATGTGCAGCTGGAACACTGACATGCTTTCCAGCAGACTACTATGCTCTGGACAAGATGTAGCTGCCAGCTAGCTTGGCCAGATAATCAGTCCTCACATCTCCAAAAATACTGGATTAATTTTTTAATTGGCATTACTTGGATAGACTGACCACATATTCTCAAACTAAGTGGTTACTTTGTAGCCTGAAAACATGTCAGAACTTAATAAAATGGCATAATACCAGTCCTGTGGGTGAAAATGCTTTGAGCTTGGATCACCATCTCTGCCATCAAGTTGAATGAGGTATTTTGGTAACATTTACTGTTGGTGCATTGCTGCATGTGTTTTGTTTGTGTGTATGCTTGCATGACAGGCGGCTCTTGGGCCTTGAGCTGACAGCGGAGGCTGTCAACCACTGACTGATGCATCCCATGTGGTAGACAGGACAAGAACCATCTAGATCTGTAAGAGCCACAAACCCTCAGTGGGATGGGGGTATTATCTGGGGCCTGTCAGTGTCTGAGCTGGCTGTCATTTAGTCTACACTGTGTTCCAGCTTTCCTCCTAACATCAGCTATAGTACTGTCATGTTTGGATTAACGGTTTCTGCTTGCAGAATGTTTTCTGCTGCTTTGACACACATTTTCTTCATACAGAAGGAGATTTCTAAAGAAATAAACCCTACAATAACAACACTGCTGTTAACAATTTAATAAATACAATTGTAATGATAACACATTTTAAAACACTACCAAAATCTGTATATACATATTGTATTTCTTTCATTTTATAAAGGTACTAAGTTGTAGGTGATGCAGGTAATACGTTTTAAAGGCCACCAGAAAACAGCAACCCTTAAAATATTTAAAACCATAATAACCATCTAGAGTAAAAGTCATTCAGAAGCATGACTCACCATCCTTAGCGTCATACTCCTTGCCAGTCCAGCTCTGGCCATGTAAACGCCATTCTACTTTGTACTTGATAATGGGCACACCACCCATGGAATCTGGCTCCTCAAACTCTACTACTGCTGTGCTCGAGAAAGGTTCCACTCGCTGAATTTCCGGCGCTGATGGCACCTCTGCAAAAGAAAGCTGATATAAAAAGCTATTTTCCCCCCTTAGCCTTAATATAAAGTATCATGTTCAGTACATGATATATGACCAACTACTTTTAATTCCCAGTGCACAGTGTACAGTGCTCGTTTGCTTGTCAATGTGGGCAAGAAACAACTTGGCACTAAAAAGTGGCAATTAATTTAACAATGTAAACAGGACTTTTACAGAGTTAATATACTCTTAACAATTTAAACAGACAACTGCTTAACTTAGATATAGCAGGGGCAATATTTTTTACCCAATCATGATACTGAGCTATTTCCAATTATCCTAGGTAAATGTGAGATGTATTTTTAATTAAAAAAGCTAATTAGCTGATGTGTTGCATAGCTGATTATATCAAATACTTCTACTATCTCTCCAGCTAAATGCTTTACAGTAAAATGTGAACTTGACATGTTTTGGGCTGCTGGTTCTATCTCAGTGGTTAACACTTTGGTCTCCTAATCACAAGGTGCAGACTCCCTAAGGCTGGCAGCTGCAACATCTGAGCCAAAAGGTCCCAGTACTGGCAGTTTCAAGTATTTGCTTGCATACAGTATTGTGGAGCCCAGTATGACCAACTCAATTCAACCCACTGAGTTAATTAGTTATTGTTTCATAATAATCATTATAATATTAAATGGCAATACTGTATATGCAGTAAATGACAGGTAATTCTGTGAGAGCCTTCAAAATCTATTGGACAAATTTCTAGATTCCTTATCATACAAGATTTACCATTAACTTTACAATTTCAACTTTACTACTACTCTAAGAACAACATAATTAGTGTATTGTGCATGTCTATTGATCACAATCACATTGTTTGGTGTAATGAACATAGTAGCCTCAGGGGGTCATTAGTGGGTCTTTATACTTTTAGTCTTGCTTGAATGCAAGTACTGAAATCTTAAAGCTGGTGATTACAAACAGTGGATGTTGATCTTAATACTACAAGGTAACAGAATAAACTAATCACTAATCAATTTATTGACGTCTGCTGGCTGTCTAGAGCCAGACAGACAAGAACACCACTGAAGGTGATCACCGTCATGTAATGATTTTAAAAAAAAATTTTCATTGTCATTATTGTGGAAAATAAGCCGTGACCATACCAAAAATGTTCATTTGGTCCTTGATTTGTAAGGAGATGCATACTGATGAATTATGTAGCAAATGAGAAAGCAGACAGGTCACACCTCAAAGGGACTACACTATATTAAGCAGTGGCAGCAGAGCTTGTTACTACAATTAATTTGACCACACTGTATTGTATGTCGAGAAGGTCCTGAGTGACCTACTTCCTCTAATGTGGTCCAAAACAATTTGCATACCAAATGAAGCTAATACGAATCAGGACTTACTGTTTAGGACAGTTCCAGAGTGATTTGAATTTCTGTTCACTACCTGTGTAGTCTATGCTGCAGAGTGTCTCGTGGCTGTCTGCATAGTCGGACTTTATTTTCTATTTATATGCTGCCTTCAGGACAGCTTGAACACAGAGAGAATATTTTCCATTCGGCGATACACAGATGTATTTCAGATACTGTACAATGCTCTTTATCATCTCATCATCTCAAAGAAACTGTCATCATTCTGAAGTGGTTTTTAGAACATTCATTAGCAGAGATTTAAGATCTTCCTGCAGTTACCATAAATACAAGCAATACTGTCATGACTATATTAAAATAGTTCACTGTGCCACTCGCCACTGTGGGAAGATTGGGTGTTTTCTTTGACTGCAATCTTAGTTTACATGGATAAGTTAAGTCAGCAGTTTTAGTCTTGATGCTCACTCTGATCATCTTTAGGGTCAGAAAATTTGGTAAAAAATTTCAGAAGTAGAGGAAAAAACATTCTTTACCTCTTATATTGATTGTACTATAAAGTCCTGTTTACACTCCAATTAGTAAAACAACACTAAACAATGTATATTTTCACATATAATCCCTACACCGGCTTCTGACTGTCTTTAGAACTGACTTTAAATTTTATCAATAACATCTAATGGGTCTTGCTTCCCACTGGGGGCTAACCTTGTTCTTGGAACAACCATTGGTGGTGGGTGGCTGGGTCAATATCGGGTGGTATGACTTTGTAACAATCAAATAAAGAGGGTATTCATTTAAAACTGCTAAATTAAATGAATAAGAATCAACGTCTTATCATTTTGGGGGTTGTGAAGTCACAAAATTTCTGAAACTTTAAAGCATTTGCTGGAATTGGAAAAAAAAAAGAAGAAGAAAATACTGCAAATGATTTGGTTAACAAACCTGCTTGGATAAGAAGGAACTCTTTGGACTCAGTGCCAATTACGTTGGTTGCTGTGCAGTTGTAGCTCCCAAAGTCATTCTGAGAATCAGGGGTAATCTGAGAGTCAGAAGAAGAGGAAAAACTCAGACACAACTGTGGCAAGAGAATAAAAAAAATAATGCTATCAGGAAATATATAACATGTGTCATTATGATATAATTTTAGTTATTAGTTTAGTGTATTTTAGTAGTTGATCTTTGGTTGATTTGAGTGATTCATATGGGAGGTGATCATCATTACATGCCCAAAATAGCATACACTGCTTTTTAAATTAGCATTGCAGTAACATTGTTTTCTTTTAATTAACAATTACTCAATTACAAATGACAAGAGAGAAAAGGTCTATACTAAGCTTTGTTTAGTAACCAGCAGGTGAAATCCCACTAAAGTCAAACAAAAACTATGTATAACTGCTTCTAATGACTGATAAACACAAAATATCTGAAAGCTGACATGCTGTACCAAAGCTGCCATTTTCACAGTCTTAAAAAACTGCCTCCTTGTGTTTGATCAATTCATTACATTGTACTGCATGTCAATATAAAGACTGCAGGTGCAGCAGACCTCCAGGTAGCTAATGGTTGGCGTGTTGTATATTGTTATGCCGGTGGAGTTGGCGGTGGGCAGCTGGAGGCCATATCTGAACCAGACCACTGAGGCTCTGGGGTGAGCCTCCACCTCACAACTGATGTTGGCTGGGTTTCCCTCCCACGTGTACACTGTCACTTCACCCTGGATCTTTGGAGCATCTGCAGCGACAGTGAAGATGATAAGTATCACACCAGGTGCCTTGGGAACAGTTTACTATCACTCTGAAGCATTTACTCCTTCAGTCTGCTTTATTTGGATTTGGACAGACAAAAATAGGAAAACACCATCAAGATTAAGATAATTATTCATTCCGTTTAACCATTATTAAACCATGGGAGTTATAATCTCTAAGAGAGAATCAATTTGTTTTTAATCCTTTTGTATCTAACTACAAGACTTTCACAATCATGGAAAACAGATTACCTTCATGGTGACGTGGGGGAGCGTAAACTATGTAACATCTTGATTTTGATTGCAAAAAAAAAAAAAAAAACAGTCTGAAAACTGTCTTGGACAGTAAACAAACAAATAAGTTAAGATTTGACTTGTTGTGATGGACACAAGGTCTAATTATGTTCTAATAGGGCTTTTGTTTTTTTGTTAGCAGATTTCAAAAACTGTGAAACACACACACATTTTATATATATATATGTGTGTGTGTATAAACACAATATTAGCAAACCCATCACATCTTTGGATGAAAAATCAGTCAGCTGCAAAGACCACAATGAGTCTTGAATTACAGCAGCAAGGAATTGTGGGATAGCAATATTTCATTAATTCCGTGAAGCTCCTCTCCTCAGTATTTCTAGCAGCTTTTATCATTGCTACCACTGAGATATTTCATTTAGAAACCTTTGTAACCAAAAAAACATTTAAAGCACTCCTGAAGGCAGCTGAAGCACTCATGCCAATGCAGACAAAACCTGCAGCCTTACAGAGTGGTAAACAAATGCTATGTCTAATGGCTATATTTTTCACTTCTATAAATTTGAGTTAAGATCATTAATGGTATCCATTTAGGTTTTGAAGACAGCCTGTGCTGGTTTTATGTAACATTAAATTGTTGCTACTTGCCTATTTTACTTGTGACCAAAAGTAGGTGCAAAATGCTTCACTTCAGCAGTTACGAAAACTTTTGCGTCTCCCAAGGCTGAGTGTCATTACTGTACAGCAAGTCTAATAGGCTGACAATCATGAGTAAACAAGAGCATTCACTCAACACAATAGTGCAGTATATTGTTGGGCCCAGCTGCTATAGCTAATTCATTTTGGGTTTGACGAACAATAAATTATTCTACCTAGGTATTAAAATCTAAACATGACTATAGGCACCAATCACTGGTTCTCTGCTGTTTTAACCTTAAAATATACATATATCATGTTTGCATTTCAAACTGTTAATGTACTACATGCATAGAGATTATCACATAAAATGATTTGGAGTTGGCTAGTGTAAAAAAAAGTGTTGCACATGAGTGGGTCTATCTAACTGTACAGCCAGGAGGACTGAAATGAGTAAATAGGAAGTGACCTGCTCCCAGCTGAAACTACACTTTATTAGACATTTATGCAAAATAAAGCTTGACTGCTGACAAAATGGAGCTCAAACAGAGAAGACATTAACACTTTCATATCAGACACACTCAGCCCAGCTAATGGGCTCATGCTGAGCAGCAGATAGGAAGGTCCATGCACGTCTTCATTGTGTGAGTGGGCGAGTGGAAATAGAGGACAGAGTGAAAGCTGTGCTCAAGACAAAGCACCTTTTCTTATCAATAATTGCTTGGCAACAGTGAATCTGCTACTTGATTACTTACTGATTACTCTAGCTAACTGCAAGCCCTAAAACAACTCTATCAAGGCTGCATTGTGATTATATCTCTGAGCAAACTGCTGGCAGACTGAAAGCAGGGCGTATTAATCCAATTAAGTGTTCATTGGCTATATTCTTCTCTTTGTGTTTTATCAGCCTAGTATTCGATAGATTTCAGCATGAGCTCAAGTACCATTTGGCCTCCGATATGCACATCCAATCTTTTTAAGTATATGTTTTGAGCTTGATCAGGTACTGATGGAAAAAAAGTGTGCAAAAGCACTTCATGCTAACTCTTTGCACCTTAAAATATACAGTAGGCACATGATATCTCTATGTCTGTAGCGCTTTTTGATGGTACAGTAGGCTAGTATGTAAGTGTCAGCCCTGTGTGGTGACATATCGAGGGTGTACCCCGCCTCTCGTCCAGTGTCATCTGGGATTGGTTCCAGCTCCCTGCGAACCTCTTCAGGATAAGTGGCATAGATAATAGATGGATGAATGGAAAATATATAGTCCCTATCTGCCCATAATGTCAACTATCCATCAATAGCAGCATGGTCACATAAACGCACTAAGACTGGTCTGTAGAGGTAGGATTTGTGCTCAAAAGACAGAGTTATTCAAAGACTAAAAAGGCATTGTACACCTGAGGCAATATCAAATCTGAGATTTGTTTATGGCATCTTCTGTGTTCTGTGGTAACAAATCATACTGGCAGTACTGACACAGCAGACTGCGCTCTGTTATCTACCAATTATTCCCAGAAACAGAGGTGACTGCCAGGACAGCTGTTCCAATGGTCCTCCTTCTGTTTAAGAACTCTCTGATTTGAGCATGCTTTTTTAAAATGCCTCTATAAACTGCACAGTGAATCAGTCTTAACAGTGTGATGTCATTTTGTTGAATTTACCCCAAAACTTAACATATGATGGCAACAAGCCTGTTGCACTGTACTGTATGTGTTCAAACATAGCTTAGAGTAGCCTGAACAATGTGTGGTAATTTCACTCACTTCAACAATAGTTTTTCAGTTATCTCAGTTAAACTGTCTTGTAAGTACAGAGATGGGGCGAATATACATTTCGTTCATTTCTATGGGGGACTGCATTCACTGCAGGGGGGCTCCGGCAAAATAACGCAGCCCTGTGCGGCAAAAAAAATTGTATCTGGTTCAACTTCTGCCGCACTGGAGGGTGTTATCAGCTAGCAAAGGCGCTACGTTGACCAATCATGTACGGGGATGATCAGGAGATGGATATCCACGGGAAGAATATTTTTTATTTTTTTCCTTGTTTTTAACATGAGCATTCTCTGCTATTCAATGTTGAATTCGGGCCACATTTAACACACCATAATGACACGCCATGCATTATTTGTCAGTACTGGATGTTAAAGTGTGGATTTTATCGATTGATGCCTGCAAAAGGCACACTGGTGAATAAGTTGTCAGTGGTGATGTGGCGACCTGTGTGTCTGAATCCACTGCACAACTGACGAACAATGTTTTCCTTCAGATTCTTTCCTCCGATATGCACATCCAATCTTTTTAAGTATATGTTTTGAGCTTGATCAGGTACTGATGGAAAAAAAGTGTGCAAAAGCACTTCATGCTAACTCTTTGCACCTTAAAATATACAGTAGGCACATGATATCTCTATGTCTGTAGCGCTTTTTGATGGTACAGTAGGCTAGTATGTAAGTGTCAGCCCTGTGTGGTGACATATCGAGGGTGTACCCCGCCTCTCGTCCAGTGTCATCTGGGATTGGTTCCAGCTCCCTGCGAACCTCTTCAGGATAAGTGGCATAGATAATAGATGGATGAATGGAAAATATATAGTCCCTATCTGCCCATAATGTCAACTATCCATCAATAGCAGCATGGTCACATAAACGCACTAAGACTGGTCTGTAGAGGTAGGATTTGTGCTCAAAAGACAGAGTTATTCAAAGACTAAAAAGGCATTGTACACCTGAGGCAATATCAAATCTGAGATTTGTTTATGGCATCTTCTGTGTTCTGTGGTAACAAATCATACTGGCAGTACTGACACAGCAGACTGCGCTCTGTTATCTACCAATTATTCCCAGAAACAGAGGTGACTGCCAGGACAGCTGTTCCAATGGTCCTCCTTCTGTTTAAGAACTCTCTGATTTGAGCATGCTTTTTTAAAATGCCTCTATAAACTGCACAGTGAATCAGTCTTAACAGTGTGATGTCATTTTGTTGAATTTACCCCAAAACTTAACATATGATGGCAACAAGCCTGTTGCACTGTACTGTATGTGTTCAAACATAGCTTAGAGTAGCCTGAACAATGTGTGGTAATTTCACTCACTTCAACAATAGTTTTTCAGTTATCTCAGTTAAACTGTCTTGTAAGTACAGAGATGGGGCGAATATACATTTCGTTCATTTCTATGGGGGACTGCATTCACTGCAGGGGGGCTCCGGCAAAATAACGCAGCCCTGTGCGGCAAAAAAAATTGTATCTGGTTCAACTTCTGCCGCACTGGAGGGTGTTATCAGCTAGCAAAGGCGCTACGTTGACCAATCATGTACGGGGATGATCAGGAGATGGATATCCACGGGAAGAATATTTTTTATTTTTTTCCTTGTTTTTAACATGAGCATTCTCTGCTATTCAATGTTGAATTCGGGCCACATTTAACACACCATAATGACACGCCATGCATTTTTGTCAGTACTGGATGTTAAAGTGTGGATTTTATCGATTGATGCCAACACAGGTAGAAGACTATGTAGGATAAACATACAGACAGGAGCAGCTGTTGTAATCGCCACTAACAACAATGTAGGCCTGTTACAAAAGTCCTTAAGAATGAATTCTTTTGCATGGTGTTAATGTCCTGCCTAAGCACCGAAGTCCCTCTATTAATAGTTTTGTCTTCAATAAATAAAATAAATACACTTTTCAAAAAAACTTTGAGTGGATCAAAAAGTAAAAATATATTGACCAAATGTCAACAGGAAAAAAGAAAAAGCATTTCTGAATCCTTTGTGCTTATTTCATTAATTAATGAATTATAAACGTGCAAAATAAGCACGATGTGTGTTGACATCACTGATAAAACATTACAGCAAGTGCAGAAAGAGTTGGGTGACTTACAGCGGACTTCCAGGTACATGTGCTGGTTGTCCTGACCGATGGAGTTGCTGGCAGTGCAGAGATACTGGCCGGCGTAGGTGAACTGGATGTTTTTCAAGGTGAGAGAGGACACCCTTGCATGGCTGCGTACCACAATATTTCTATCAAGGCTCTAGAATGAAGAAACAGCAATTATCCTTACATTTATAGTCAGAAATTTCTGTAGGAACAAATGCATTTTAAGTAAACAAACAAAGGATGATTGGTGATGACTGGTATTATTCTTTTTTGTTTCTTTTTGTAAAGAATGATGCACAGACAGACTGGGGAAGTTGGAAGGTTTGGAAAGAAGAACTAACACATTGTTAATGTTGGTCCTTTTATGAGATTTGTTTATAGGAAAAGTACAGCAACAGAGCAGCCTTATCCTTTAGCACCAAGGTACGCACAGTACTTTTTAACTCAGAACAATACAAGTTCATCTTAAAATCATACAAAAAAATCCATTCTGCCTCTCGCACATATGCAAACAGCAACATAGTGGACATCACTGACACTAAATGGAAATCAGCAAGTACATGAAACCCTGCAAACTCCTGCAGTATGTTGATTACCTCCCCTACCATTTAGCAGTCTAGTTGCAGGTTTACAGACAGTCTAATTGCAGCTGGAACACTGTAATTGCAGTTGGGACAAGCGGCTTGTTAAACCTTGTTTTCATTTAGAAGATCGTCTTTATTGCTCTGCCTACTTTACTGAACCTGTGGCTATGCAGGGTCACTGAGGATGTGCTCTGCCTCATTCAGAGCAAGCTGTCACATCAGGTGTGCAGCTGACATCAGAGTTCACCTCCTCACTTAAGTGATTAACCATGTGCTGCAACCTGGCTGCATTTTACCAAACACAAGTAACAAGGCAAAAGAACTGAGTGGTTGGTTTTCTTCTCCTTTGTTCTGGATTGTTTATCAATATATTTGATCATTTTCACATGGCCTCCCCCGGGTTACACATTCTGATTTATTATTACATGATTTCTGTCTTCAAATCACACTGCAGTAGGTAGTAAGTGAAAAAGATGTCAATAATGAAGAAGAGCCATGTAGCAGGCCCTATAGAAACTCTGGTTGTTAAAAACACTGTAACAGCTTTTCTTCCCTCTGGGCAACACACAGTTCATTCCACCATGGGATATACATCTTCCTCCTAGTTGCCACGGTTTTCTATTAATATTTCAGGCATTTCAGGCACTTCAGCGTTTATATTTTATAAATAATTGAATATTTGCTGTATTAGTATTATGGAATGAATTGTTATCCTTTACAGAGCAGGATGATGCAGATATGGCAGAAATATTTCTGCAGTTTAACTGAACACTGAGGGAGTGTCCTGTAACATTTTGAAAGGGCAGCATTAATCTTGTCTTACTGCAATGACACAGGAAGGAGCTGTGCTGGGTACATCGCTGAAATGTAAACAGGGATGAGGTTAACGGAGAATAATGGTTTAATGATATTACAGAGGCAGAAGTGAACAGGCAGACCTTTGGACAAAATGTATTCATTAATTCAAATGAATTATTTTGATTATACAACAGTGATTTGTCACCAAATTCATTATAACTGTAGACTTGTAATGGAAAGCAAGGACATGATTTTTCACAGTTTCCTCTGTTTGTGTAGTCACTGCTTCTTTTCTCTGTAGAACAGAATTGACACTGCGTTCCATAACCTGACAACACATGTTTTGCATGTCATATATTCTCTATTACAACTGATGTATGGGAGAAACTGCACTGTTGAATTTGCCCCAGCTACATCTGTCAGTGATGGAGTGAACAAACCCAATTCATTATACCTAAGTGCTGCTTTTATACTGTCAGAGCATTTAAATGAAAGTTGATACAAGAGGAATTTTTCTCAATAATCAAGGTGAAGAGAGGGTTTTGTTTCTTCTCATAACTTACAGCTATGCTAACTCCATAAAAAAATAAGATTTTTGTAAATAAAATGTTCACATCAGTTTCCTAATAGTAATTAAAAGGAAGACATTTTAGATTTTTGTGACTGTGGTTTGATGACAGGTTACCATTTTCGTTTGCTATGTTAGCTAGCATTTCCAAACTGCCACGAAACACAAAGTAGAGCTGTGGCAGATGGGATTGTCTGTCGTTTTGTAGATATGTGATCAAAAACCAAAGATGTTTTGATCTGAACATGGTGTCAGAAAAGCCAGGGGGATCAGGAACATGAATATCTGTACCAAAAGGCATGGAAAGCATGGCCATGTTTTACTCCATAGCAGTGCAGTAACTCTCCCCATAATCTCCTCACAATCCGTAGCACGATCAGCAGCCAATGAAAATTCTTGCATTTAGCAACACCTCCTAAGCAGTGCAAAAATGTTGGAACATGTTTCTAAAGTGGGAGCAAAAGCAGATCCTATTACCAAAGGTACGTGTGATAGTATGTTTTGTTTTACTCCTGCAGTGGAAAAGAACAATTAGACTGATGAAAGCAAAGCGATGTGTCCTTTAATAGAGCTTAGGCTGATAAGCTAAGCCAACAATATCCTAAAATGGCCTCTCTATCTAGAATAAAGCTCATGATTAACTGGTGCCTAATTTGGGGGCTGGATCGTCAAGCAGGCACATAAAAAATACACTTCAGAGAGGACCTGAAGGCCATGCTGAATCTGTACCTTCTCCAAAAATTAAACATTCTGCTAAAATTTATAGTCCATTTGAGTGGTCCTTGTCCAATAGTTGAGCCAAGGATTCTAATGTTTGGGGCACCCTGGTGGCACAAGGCACTGACATTGAATACACAATGAAATGTCCTCAGTTTGAGTCCATTCTGGAGCCACTGTTGGATTAAAAAGAAAATAAAAACCACCAGGCAGCTGTTGTCTATGTACTTATTAGCATTATTATTATAACATTACCCTCCGTAATGTTAAAGTGAGACAGGTTTAATTACATATTTCATCACAGTTTACACAATAGGTTATGATGCCCCACTTCCGTTAATAATAGACTGGTCAACAGAGTACTATGGTATTTACCAGTTGTCTATATTTGCCTGTGCCTTTAAGTAGCATTTGGTCTGTTTTAGGTATTATATCTACAGTATGATCATGATAAACACAAAAATAAAAATTACATAGAACATACAACACAGTCATCTGATCTTTCCTGATTTAACAAAGACTGCCTGAATGCTGTATTCAGCACTGCTCACTTTACTGGCATTGAGCAGACAGGTTACTATAATCAGAGCCTGATTTGGTTTAAGTGTCAGGCTGCTTTTTGAAGTGCATTTTTCAATGAAATAAAGACACATTGTGAAGACCTGACAGTTCTCTTTAGCATATTATTACTGTTCAGATTACATTTATCATCATTACTAATCATATAATTTCTACTTGTTAGGAGTCTGTGATTTATGCCTTTCACAGAGCTGAGTTCAGCCAGCGTCCAGTGCAAGCAGGGCCAAACTATCATCAGTGTATATGATTTGCTTGATCAGTGCTGTGCTATTAGAAATGCATTTATCAACGGTCAATTTTCTGTGAAGGGCCACATCAAAATATATAATATATATCTTCACAGATGCACAGAACCATTAACTGATAATATCTTCAGGCACAGAAAATATGACTGGTCATAATAATGTATATCACGAAAGAACTTAGTTTTGTGGTATTGCTGTCATCAAGACTTTTATCAACACACCGAGACACAATATTATAGCTTTTTCTCACAATTTTTATTTATTTTTTTATCATCTCATTCTAAATGCCCTCACCCTGTAAAAACAAGCAGCTTTAGAGAAACTAGTAGGCAGAAGAGCATGGGAACAGTCAAGAAATATTATACACTATAAACAAACACCTTTCTCTACTGGCAACCATTTGACTAAGAGAAATGTTAAACTACAGCTAAGAGCTACACTAGACTTCTACTAATAGTAGTTGGTTGTCTACAACAGCAAACTACAGAGAAAACGGCATTAGAAAATAATATTTGCAGTAATTAATACAGTATATCCAAATTGAAAGTTTTATTTTTAACAATATTTTATAGTCCATATTGTCAAGTAATGAATACACTTAATTATAAGTTTAAAAAATGTATCAAAGCCGAGTGTACTCTAAGTTACAAACTCACAAAACAACTAAAGTACTAATTCAGTCACAAAACCATGTTGTACATTATTGAAATGATTGAAAGCAGATGAAAATATGTTTTTTGAAGAACACAAATTGTCATTGGTCATTTTCACATTGAAGCTTGATCAGGTAAATTAGTTTCATTGTGTTGCAGTGAGTGAAGTTAGCTTGTTATATTGTACAATATTGTGTCAGTTCTGTGTAATGGCAGTGGGGGTTTTTTCTTGGAGGGCCAAGAGTTTGCATGTTTTCTTTCAGTCACACACTTCATGCAGAAAAGTGTTTATGAAATAAAACTTTAAACTGCTTATTATTTCCCATGGCAGGCCTTTGGCAGCTTGATTCCTGCTAGTGTTCTAAAAGATACAACTAAATTGTGCTCCTCTGCGATATCTGTATCTCAAAGGAGCACAGGGTTGGACACAGAAGTCTCAGAGAGATATCTCTAAATATAAACAAAGAAAACCCAAACTATCCACTTTGCTAGATGCCACTAGAGGCAAGTGAGAAAGTCAGATTTTTTTTTTGTCTTCTGAGGGAATTGACCCATTAGGACTATTTTATAAATGAGGCCCCAGGTGATCTGAGTCAGCTGTTATAGTGTGTGGCTGAAATGCAGACATGCAGACTCCTGGGTCATGACAGCAAGCTACACCATTTAAAACCACTTTGTTCAGATTTAGTTTAGCTCAGTGAGTTAGAGATGGCTCACTGCAGAGCAGACAGTGTTTTCTACTGTATGTGAGGTCATAAAGCTGCTGGCCTACCAACAAACCAGTGCAGGAATTTTTTTGAACGAGCAGACCATGCAGGAAATAACAGCATGCTATATATGGCCCAAAAATGGAAAATCTACTTTGAAATAATGTGACTGTCTTTGCATTTCAAGATGGAATTTGTTGGCAAAAATAAACGGGGACAAGTAAATAGGGCAAATCTAAATGTGTACTGGAACTAAATAGATTAAATTTACTGTAGCACATGTCTAATGGTCTACATATTTAGTGAATAACGAAATGTAGTACACATTAAATGTAGGCTAAATGAGAACACTTCTGCTCTGCAATAAAAATGGGTGGTCTGCTGTATAGGGCTGTTAAAATTAGAGGCTACAAGGCTACAGTATTTAGTAGCCATACCTCATATTTGTCTGGTCGTGTCCAAGAAGCCTAGAGAAGACAAACATAGAGGAAGCAAAGACAAATGGCGACACAGTGGAGCAAAGTAAGCTTTTATAAAGGACCCACACAGAATGAGCATAGACTGGACTTACCAGCCAGAGATGTGCACTGATTTCAGCTACAAAAACATTTCCACTACATTGCTGCCACTTATTTCCCTGCCTTCCATGTAGATTTTGATCTACATTCCTTTTCAAATGGTAGGGAAATCAACTTGTAGTAACTTTGAAATTGCTGCTGAGAAAGGTAATCCATCATGGCGAATTCTGATTTGGTATAGTTGTTAAAATAGCCTAGAGCGCAATGATAACATAACTGATAAGTTATGCAGACAAACAGGTGCTTTAGACAGCAAGCTGTTGTTGCCACTCCATCGTTACACCCTGTAAAAGCGGCAGCACACATGTTGCTTGAAGTTAGCAGCAGCAAGGAGAAGCAGTGCTGCAACTGCTCTCTACTGCTCTGGATACGCATGCCTCTGTGTTGCTGCCGGTGGAGTTTGGTTTTTTTCAGCTTGCCACTGCAGCTTACTGTGTGACCATAGCAAGTACAGACAGCAAGGGTAAAGGTACAGCAGCTGATTTTACAGGTATATGAATTAAAGACAGATCAATGAAGAGAAACATTATCTTCTGCACTGGTCTGAACTAGCTTGCAAAACATGATCTATCAATGATGTTATATATTTTAAATAACAATCCACTGCATTCAGCTGCATAATGAGGACAGTCCACAGCGATAGGCTGCAGTGTAAAGGCTGGTAGGCTCAGAGGTAGCAGGGAGCCCTCTTCACAAAACACCCCTTTGTTACTAGGCAGTGGCTGCAGCAGTAAATTCTCACTGTCTGAAAGCTCCTTAATACTTATCGTGATAGATTATTCATTGTCAAGTCTGTGCATTGATTTTCAAACCCTCATAAAGTAACCTGAAACCAGCGCTTGCCTGAAAGGTACAGTAGGATAATGCATCTAACAGCCTGAACACAACATCAGGCTTTAGTAAGTACAGCAGCACTGTATACACGATTTATAGTGAAAGGCATTAAACATGCCCACAGACACTGAATTACTTTGATGTTGAATAAGTCTGCAGGATTTCTCTACTAACCTGTATTTATTACAATTAGAATGAATTCTGTCATACATAAATTATGCTGAAAAACAATATTACAATCGGACATCATTAAGTTCAAAGTATTGCTAAAATGAAACAGAGTGACTGTTAATGTGAGGTCAGGATTTCCGACTTGGCATTTCAACTGCAGTCAGGGAATTTACAAAATGCCAAACTACAGCAAATTTTCCTAAAGCATCACGGGGTCTTCTCAGGTGGTTGTTAATTAATGTACTGTAATAAGACAGAGCAGCACTGAAGGGCACTGAAACTAATTATGAGAGAACCATTACCTGGTATCTGGAGATGTTTTTCTAATCAGCATCTTTCTCATCACAGCATTCTGTGTTTGGATTAACTCTTTCATTTATGTACATAACAGTGGTGTGAAAACTTATTTGGCTAATAACAAGTACATTTAGTACACGTGTAGTAATTCTAATATCACAGTAAAGAAAAACAATATGTCTGGTATGAGTGTGCAACAAAACTACAACTCCCCGTTCAAGAGATAATACTATGATGCCATCCACCTACACTTTCTACAAGACCACAATATTAAAAAGAAGCAGCCGTACGTCATTATGATTATGTCCGTGCTCTTGTATTCTGGTCGGGTATGATGTAGAACAAGAATATGAATGAATAACAGAGCCTGGCAAACAGAAAACAGACCAATGATGAATGACAAGCTGATGAAAATTAGATCAAAATTAAATCTAAATTGATCCGACAGTGATCGATAGGAAAGACAGGAATGATGACAGCCTATGAATAAAAGAAGGTATTGGTGGCAACTGTGCGTTTCAATGGCAGAGTCCCATCTTGCAGGTAAACTCAAATACTAGCACTTCGCACTGATTTTATTACATGACAGTATTTAAGCCTGTAGTGCTTGAACAAAAGTCACGAGGTCATTCAAACATAAAGAGCATATTTAATCTACTCAAATACTAGCACTTCGCACTGATTCTATTACATGACAGTATTTAAGTCTATAGTGCTTGAAGAAAAGTCACGAGGTCATTCAAACACAAAGAGCATATTTAATCCATTTGGTGTATCTAAAATACCTCTAGCATACTATCGGCACTCTATTGTTATTCTTCTGTGAAACGCTTCCAGTGGCATTTTTATTTTCTTTTGGCTTGAAACCATGGAGGACAAAAGCCACCAGAGATACTTGTTGCATGCATTTCAACTTTTGGCACATTGGCCAGGTTCACAAGGCTGTACGGCACCGCCAGGTACAAGTAGTATCTCCTCATGTTCAAAATCCAGGATTTCATCCACGCATGCTCATAGTGCACATTCCAGCTTTTTCTTAATTTCAATTCTTATGACACATTTCATAGAAACTAAAGTGCTCCAATGACTAATTCAGCTTGTTGTTGAAATATACTTAGATATTTTATTGTTGCCTTAAAACAATTCATCTGAGATGTTTTGCTAAAGTCGATTTAGATACTGTATATCACTCCATTCTCTAGGATTTTAACAGTTTAAGAATGCTCCCTTGACTGGGCTGCGCTGAAGGCAGAAAAAAAAATAAGAAACAATTCATGATACTGGAAAGATTCTCTACTGAATTTATGGAGTCTCTTCAGGGCCTCCGATAAAGTCTTGTTTACTGAAACATCAAATAAATAAAAGTGTAAGCTAAGATCAGATTATTGAGTATTAATAAATGATTAACAACCACTGCTACTCTTTGCTTCCACAGAATCTAGTGGACATCTTCATAACTGGTTATTGGCACATAGAACAAAATTGGTGTTGTTTGTTCCAAATCTTATTTTTCTTTGCCCCGGACCTCCATTGTTGTCTATTTATACGAGCCACAGCGTTGCACTGGATGCCCTACGCCTTCAATACAATGAATACTATTTATTTTTAGTCAGTCCCACATACATTCTCCTGCAGTTGCAAATAATAAGATAGATATTTGGTGTCCTACTGAAATAATTTCTAATAAATATATTTTAGTATTTAGTTTAGTTGAGTTTTTTTTTTATGACACAATGAGAAAGAGGGCCCCAGGTCAGACAGTGCACCAACAATACATGCCTGCATCATTTGTAACACATTTTGGATCAACATTGTTATATAGATTTTTTATTATACAAGAGAATGTGTGGTTGAGCACAAAACCAAAACTAGATTTTCTCTGTATTCCATGCTTATTATATCAAAAACACAAAGCTCTCCCAGCAACACCCAGGTAGAGGCTTTACAGAGATTTAATGCACTGCTGAATGCTGAAATGTGCTACTGCAATAAACAACTGCTATATTGGGCATGGCAGGTAGTGTTTAAAATGCAGCACATACTGAACCATTTTCAAGCTAAATTAACCTATAACAATTTATATAAAAAAAGCTCTATTATACGTATTATGTTTTTGTCTCCTTGTGACCCACTAACACATTTTCTGAGGTTCAGTACCCATCCATAACCCAGGTAATGGGAACCTCTGCTCCATGATTATCAGAAGTAGTATGAAGATATATTTTTGCAGGACCTAATCCAAGCTGAAGTACTAACCGATGTATTAAATGTTCCTCCTGAATCTACAAAACCACACCAAGACAGAAGGCAGCAAGGTAATTACTGTATCCTACTAGTGTTTACTGCATCCAAAGGAGAAAATTACACCTGTGAAGTGACTAATCCATCTACTGCTCACATGATACATTTTATCAGAATAGACCATTAAAATGAAATTTTTCAAAATTATTCAAGTTTAATGAGCTGATAAGAGCATAATAACAGACTTGGGATAAGATTCTGTCTTCAGGGTGACAACTGCCACCACACCACCACTGTAAAGGAGAAACTGCACAAGGACCATATTCCCTGCTCACATGCTATTCACAGCTCACATGAGTAGCTTTTTACTGTGTTCTACAGCCAAAGCTTTAATCCAGTGTTATCTCTACCTCTCCTGAAGGACATGAAGAGAAAAACAAGGATACACACTAAATCACTACAAAGATGCAAAGCCTTTATGTGACTTTACATGCTAAGACTCTTCTTTACTCTTATGTTATGTTCATCCTGAGAAAGAATGCCTAATTATTTCCAAAGTGAATTATTACAGCATTTTGCCGGAGTAGAATAACTGAGTTTGATTTTGAGATAGAGTGGGACTGAAGCTGTGTGACTTTTAAAACAACAATAATTAAGCTAATTCAACTAAAATTGTCTTCACTTTTTAAACTCAAACTTAATTTTTAATGAGCTCTTTTAATAATAATTTCACAATAATATTACTTTTCCAAAATGATTAACAGAGAGAGGAGTACATATACACTTAACAACTCTGGAGAATATCATGCACGGCACTGCCCAGAAATTGCTTTAAAGGCAATTTGTATTCATCTAGGATTTATGACGGAAAACTACAAAATCCAATTCCTGCAGTACTGGAGAAGGCTGTCAAATGATGATAGAATTCAAACTTGACTGTAGAAAGAACAAATTCGGGTGGCATTTCAGGATTCAAAAGTGTGTGAAGCACAGCAAGCAGTTTGAATCAACTGGCCAACTACTACAGTATTAATGATCAGAGATGGGAAGGGCTAGAAACTTCACTGAAGTCATATCAGGGCTGACAAAAAAAAAAGCAAGTGACTGAAATCTCAACCACATGTTATACGTGTGAATACCGATGCATGTGTTAGCTCTGTGATGGAACAAAGACTACCCTGATTTTCTGAAGTAAATGGCAATTTAGTACAGGTTTGTTCAGTAACAGCAACTCATAGAGGACTTCGGTTGTTAATGTCACAGGTGGAATTTAATACTAGTGAAGAGTCAGTGGAGGGTCTAGTAGAGGCTCTGTATGGCACAATGACATGAATTTCATCTGGATCCCAAAAACTATGTGTATTTGGAGTTGACCACCTATGAGGGGAAAATACACACACAAGCAAAACCCAGCAGTACCTGCTCTCCTTCTGTGAACTGTCTGTTTTGAAAACTCCAGGAGATGGTGGGTGTTGGGTCACCTGAAGCCTCACAAGTAAAGATGACTTCCTCGTCAAACTCTGAGGCAGATTGGTTACTCATGTAAGTAATATGGGGTTGCACTAAAAGAAAAAGATCCAAAAGCATTAGTGAAACATTAATTTCTAGATATGTTTATACCTTCCAGAACACTGCAAAAAAATGCCCATACAAGTGTTTATACCTTCCAGAACACTGCAAAAAATGCCCATTGTTGCAGTCTACTGCTAGTATATAGTATGTTATCAGTGCTGTCCACTGAAGTTGTATCATTAGTCGGTGAAAGTAGGTTTATCAGAACTTGTTCGCCTGTTTTTAGGCAGCTCATTGCACTGATGCCGTTTAGTTAGTAGAATGTAAAACAATTAACTAAAAGAAGCTGAAATGCTTTTCAGAAGTGCTGCAGAGTGAACTAGTAATTCTCTGAAGGATACCTTTAACACTATACATAGTCATTTGATTCACTGTTAATATAAAAACATTGATTAGTGCAAATTCAAATAGCAGTTACAATAGGCGACTATACAGCCAGGCTTCATTACAGTTGTGGTTTCATACACCATTAACATATAATGGAACTGCAAGCACATTATTACATAAGGCTGGTACAAATTGCCTCATGAGGAGAAGCTCTAGTGTGATATCTCTGAATGTCTACAAGGTGGTTTAATTCATTTTCAACACATTAGAACACACTTTTCTTTAAACTGTACGCTTTATGCTGTGTAACCTTGTACCCAGTCGGTGGAGGAGCAGTGCACAGAAAATGTTAATAAGTACAAAAGAAAAGGCCAGACAGCAAAAGACCCACAATGTTGTAAATGTTATCAAAAGCAAATGGAGTTATTCTCTTACCAAACACGTTCAGGCTGACTTCTTCAGCTTTCTCTCCTGCCTTGTTCTTTGCGATGCAAGTGTAATCTCCTTCATCCACTTTCGTGACATCTTTTATTACCAATTCTGAACCATCCTCGTTCAGGCTGTACTTATCACCCGTTTCAAGGACAATATTGTTACTGTAGCAGAAAGGGGGGAAAAGGGAAAAAGACATGGTGGATTTCATATCACACAGATTTGCTTAGGGAAACATGAGGGGCCTACAAATAAGTTTTTTTTTTACTCTGGGGTTTTACCTCAAAAAGAGAGAGCAGCTGGTACACAACAAAGCCTAGGAAACCAAAAAAGCTGCCCTGTACTGTATGCCTGAGAGCATCACGCGCATTTCCATAGCTTTTGTTTGCTTTAGCTCTTCTTTAGCCCTTACATCTGTGTTTTGAGGAAGGCCATGCACCCATTCGATGGTGCATGCTTTTTTTTTTTACTTTTGAGAAAACACTCTCACTCTTGAGAATGAGAACTTTGCTGGAGGTTAGAATCCTGTTTACAGAGAATTAAGTATTTGTATGCCTGAGTAGATGCCTTCCTGAAGCGTTTTGCAGGCAAACAGTGGATGCGAGCCTTGTCAGCTTCCCTAGGAAACCAGAACAAATAAAGCTATACCCCTCTGTTTTTTCACCGCCTCACCCATCTGCCATCAGCAATATCACTATCTGTCTTAACTTTCTTCTGGCCAGGAACTGTGTCTTCCTTAGCTGCAACAGTAACATCACACACTGGATTTATTGTATGGAAGACAGTTGAGAGCAGCATCAGAGTAAAAGTCTTAGGGCTCTATTTTCCTGCAAGAGGACGTAACTAAATTAAAGTCTAAAAAAAGTGGAAGACTAGTTTGAACAGTTGGTTTAAATGTAATGAGGAGCGGAAGTGGCATGTTTTTGGGCATGGTCCACTATTTTAAAAATACTTTTTATGATACACAACAAATTATTTGGAGTGAATTCCAGCAGATCAGTTGTGGAGCTAATTTTAAGTTAGTGTAGCCATTAGAATACATGTGTGTACCTGATCTTATGCTTCCCAGCCTATGTACTTGTCAGGAAACTTGCAAATGCACCCGCGAAAATAAGATAAGAGATGGTCTAATCAGGTGTTATCGCTATCTTTATTTCAGCTCAAAACAAGCACCAAAATTGCACTGCGCTGCCTAATTGTCACACACACACTGCCTCGACTGCACGTATCCTCCTACCTCAGCGTGTAAGCGCATTCATTCACTGCAGGAAAATACCAAACTCACCAATGCACAAAAAAATAGGCATGAGCCTGAGGAAAACTGCATAATGACTGCAAACGAGGCGACGCAGAAATTGCGCAGGCAGGAAACCAGAGCTCTTAGCCTAATTGATGCTGCTTTGGGACAGAGCTGAATGATTTAAGATGAATATAAATGAATATTATTAATTTAGGCTTTTAAAAAAATATTACACCGTTCTTAAGGACAAACTGCAAAACAATTGAGGTATAGCTCTCAGTAATGTGTAAAAATCTGTAAACAGAGATTGATGCTGTATTATGAGCTACACAATTAGGTACTTTTAATTCTATTAAAACCAGTAAGCTCAAATATGTTGCACATTTTTATAATTTTTTAAAAAATTTTTTAACAGAGAGCTCATTTTCACATTTGTTGGACTCTTCAACTTGATCACATAGTTTCTATGTACAAGCGTTTAGTGATAACCATGGTGTACATCTACTGTAGGTTAACACATGCAAGAATGCCTGCTCTATAACCACACTACTCAAAATAGTATGCAACTTAAACAATGTGTACAGAATAGAAACCTGCCTAATAGGACTCCTTGTTACAATCATGAAAATGTAAATACATCTTTTCCCTCCCACACACGTTTCTAGACAAGGTCATGCAATTTAATATTTATTTAGGCGACTGTGCTTCAGTGAGTAGAGCGGTTGCCTCCCAACCGGAAGATTAGAGGTTTGAATTTTAGTGCCCGCAGTCCACATGACGAAGTGTCCTTGGGCAAGACACTGAACCTCCAAGTTACCCTCGATGGTTAGAGCCATCAGTTGAGTTGGAGCCGCAGATGGCTGCCTCGGTTCTGTACCGGAAACAAATTCCTTGTATGCAACATACTTGGCCAAATAAAGTGATTATTTTCATATTTATGCCCTATTTACAAACACTTCACAACACCAACCCCCTGAAAGTTATATTGTGCATATGCAATTCTTTTAAAGGAAGCACAATCACTTCCAACACAAGGTTTGGGCAAGGAGGCAGCAGCACCACTTGCATGCAAGAGAGTTTACATTGTTTTATCTCAGACTTGATCAAAAGACTCAATTTATAAAGTGGAACAAAGCTGACAGCCCCAGTCGTGTGACCTAAAATATGCAATTTGCACTTCCAGCTGGTGTTGAAGGAAACAAAGATGATTTTTTTTTTTTTGGAAGTTGAACATTTAAACAGGGGTGTGAATAAAAGCCACTGTCTTTGTTTTATAAGACGTCATTCAGCACTTAACAGCGCACTTCTGTCAGTAAAAGAAAAGAAAAAAGATTCAAACTTCACTCAAAACAACATGTTAATTCAAAATTATTTTGTCCCTTCCAATTGACTAGCATGAAGCTCAGACCTACAATAGTTTTTTAAATCTTTGTACTGAAGCGCTGCCTTGAAATAATGGGGCATGCAGAGACTGGGCTGAGAACAAGCTCTTAACTGAAGAAAATCAATATACTGTATGTGTAATTTAAGAAAATACTAAAAGGGCCTTTTTATTCTTTAAATAACTGGCTTCTGTTGTCAATACTACTCTGATACATCACTGCATTTAGTCTTTGTGCAAACACTGTCGGTGTCATTATCACACACTAAACTTGCCTGAACTTCAAAGCACCTTATGTTTCTTATTGTGTATTCAGTATGCTGATGGCCACGTGCGCTCAGTTGATGCAAACAGTAATATAACAGCACTCTTCCTTGATTGTGCACCCTTGCACAACAGTGTCTGGTCACTACATACAGTGTTATATCTTTGGTTTGTTTGCACACTACCACTGTCATTGTGTCCAGTTGCTGGAAACAGAGGGCAAAGATAACACCGCCCCCAGAAAACTGTTCACCTAATTACAACATAGCCGCCTGATCCAGTTGTGATACAGACTATAAGGGGCATCCAGTTACTAAAGGACATACTGTAGCATTGCCCTTATAGAAGTGTCACTGATAAAACTAATCCCTTCCTGCAAAAAAAGATAAAAGCGCAAAGCTATGGGCATACATTTAAATAGCTCCTTTGAGGAATCACTGTGGGTTTACAGTTTTACACAGAATCCCTCAAACTAATGAGAATTTTACAGACCTGTGATGTGAAAGTGGCCTCTATATTCTTATTATTTTAACATAACTAGTATAGGATAGAATTCAACATCCACATTAAGCTGGTTCCTACTTGTGGCCCCTGTCATCATAACTGGACAATGAACTCAGTGAATGACATACCGTGTCCAAGTGACAGTGGGTTCAGGGAAGCCATCTGCATCACAAGCCAACAAGGCAGAGCTGAGGGTGTCCGCTGTAGCGTTGACCTCTGACTGCCTGGCACGGATAGTGGGAAGCACTGAAACAGAGATATATGTAATGAAAAGACTGACACAAGGTAAACATTAACTACACACAGCAACTGTTTCAAAGAGTCTTTTGAAGAAGTGCCGTCTAGAGATGTAGGTCGATACCTGAAATAACAATTTTTTTTTGGCCACTTGGGGGCAGTGGAAAATAACTGAGCATAGCACTGACATGTTTTAGGTTGATATGGCAAACTGGTTGTTTACACATGCAGCAGTTGACAATACAGAGCAACGCTACCATTCATTTGTTTATGTCCAGCATGGTGCATGTAAGTCCACTATTCCAGAGATATCATTACTGTACAGTACTATAATGAGCAACAACTCATTCTTAATCAACAGGACAGGCAGGGTGCAAAAGGTGACAGAGATAAAGTGCTTACCGTTAACAATGACCTTGATCATCTTGAAGTCAATTTCTCCCCTGGCCATGACACGAGCCTCACAGTGGTACATGCCCTCATCTGTCTTCTTGATGCTCCGGATCTGCAAGTGGCCATTATCCATGATCTTGAATCGTACTGAAATAGAAAAGGCAGACGGAGGACAACAACTTAACAGATATGGCATTCAAGACTATACTGACACAACAAAATAATACATGTAAATTTGTCAGTGTGGATGAATACACTATATTAAGCACTGCATCTATGCTCTTTTTTGTTGTAGCATTGGTTTGTGACATTTTAAAAGAAGTAATCTTGATTTCCAGGTATGGGACTCCATGCTAACATTTCATGCACTGGTGCCATCAAGTCTCTCGCTGCTAGATTTGGTGGCACTACTCCTGTTCTTCAATGTGATGTAAAATAAAGAAATATTATCTACAAACTGTTTTAAATTACCTTACTATCTAATTTGTAAATCACTTCTGGAACCACTCTCCACCTCTTTTGACAGAGTTTCTTTATAACCAGTCAGCTTGCTGGTACTGTTGATGATAGAAGGGTGGATCGACGAAGAGGATGATGATGTTTCAACTTCAGCAAAAAGAGGTCTCTATGAGTTTTTTTTTTTTTTTTTCCTGGAACAAAATTTCTAAACTTTGTAAAAGGCTGCTATGATAGGGTCTATGATAGGCTGTGATGAACTTAAAGGACAATGACCAAACAAACGGTCTTCACAAGGCTGGTCAAATGTAGAAATGTGTGGAATAAAACCTCATTTAGGCTTATTATATAAAATTAACAATGTTTTTAACTCTATGTTTTTACCACTGTTTGTTGATTTGTACACAGTTTAAGTCAAAGAGTTAAATGGATTTTTATGAAATGGATTCGTTAATTTTTTTTAAATGCTATTATGGGAAAACTGAGCTGCTTTGGCAGAGGTTTGCACTCTCTTGGAGATGGTTTGCTTCCTCGCTCGCCACAGCTACTGCATGTCTCTCTGGCACGGATGTTAGGTTTTTTTATGCCCATTTATTCTGCAGTCACACAGACTGCAACCACTGAAAAAAGTCAGTTGCACATTAAATATATTTGGTCGCAACATGCAACTGATCAATCGCAGTGTGGAGTAAATTATACACATTCCCTCCTAGGAACAACAATGGGCTAAAATTAGAAATGAATTCTTGTCAGTGGATCACAACAATACAAATGGAGGCAATACTGTTAATGCTTTAGCATAAAACCTAGTAAATGTTAAAAATGGGCATTTTAAAGCTAAAATACTCAATTTAAGTGAAGCCAGATGATCAAATCTAAATCATCTCTGGTAATCAAGCATGTCACACAGAGGACACAGAGAGCTCCGCTGCATGACATCAATGATAAGGTCTGACAAACTGTCGGACCTCAAATTAAATCAGCCATATACACTCAGTAATGACATGAGCTTAAGTGAAGCAGTATGTTGTTTTGGGGGAAGTCATCTAACATTTATTTAAAAAAAGGGCTCTGCAGAAATCTGACTTAAGAGCTGTAAGACAGGTAAACTGGATCATCTTTGTTGTTTGTTCTTTATACAAACCAGCACATTTCTCCAACATGTGTTACTGGCTAGTGGGTACTTTAAAGCCCACTGAATCAAAACTGTGACTAATTATGGTTTACTGTACTTATTAAGCATAACTTTCACAGGCCAGTCTCACTGGAGATGGAAACACCTCTCTAGCAGTCCAGTACCACCAGATCAATTCCTGTGATAGTGAGTGGGCACAAGGTTTCAAATCACTTTTAAGATTTGTGCACTTCATTGTGCCAACAATTCCACCTAAACTATTATCATCATAGCTGCCTGGCTATCAAGGAGTGTAACTAAGTACATTTCATTCCAATATTTGCTACATTCACATACACTACTTAAAGCCCCATACTGCATATTTAACAGCTACATTTATTAGTTACTTTGCATTTTACACACACACACAGATTGTTAAGACTTTGCTTTAGCAACATTTTGAATTCAGATTTTTTCTTTGAAGTACTACTGTAGTTTTTGAAGCATTATGATGCTTCAGCTTTAACTTGTGTGGAAAATTTCAGAGACTGAGACTGTTGTGATCCACCGATTTCCATAATACTGTCATCCGTTTTGTGCTTCCTCTCTGCATGCACATATAAATATGTACACACACCTCCATATGCAGAACTAGGAAACTAAAATATTTAGCTAGTGTAAACATAATGTCAAAAATAATTTAAGACAATCCTTTGAGGAGGTATTTAAGAAGAAAAATGCATTTTAGACTTTGTTAACCAATCCTTAATTCATGCTGACACATAATGCAATGCCAAAATCCTAACTGAAGGTTTAACAATGCAACATATGCTAAGGTGAACTGGTGCTCTGAGGAAAATGACATAAGCAGTTTCTAGTTTTCAGTGTCGGTTACAATTAGTGGTTTTTCTAGTGAAAAACACATTCCTTGACAAGAATCCAAGAATAAAGACTGGTTTAGCACAACACTGTGGTGCTCCATGCTCTCCAGTGGTCATTGAGGGAGGGGTTATTCTAAGGTTATGCTAGGCCTGATCTAAGTGTAAAACAAAATCCAGTCTCCTGTTTCATCCTCTACCTCAGCTCTTGCAGAGCAGAGTGATGTCCTGTCAGAACTCTCTGATGAGGAAGATCTACTCTGGGCTAATCATGCCAATGAATGAATGAATTTACTAAACCACTTGCATCCTCTTCATATTATTGTCAGAAGTGCCCAATTGCTGAGAAGTTTGTAATTTGTTCCTTCACAGACAACAGCAGTTGTAATCAACTCGGATTCATAGGTGTTACAGCATAATGCTTTAAAATGTACACTTAAAGGACATTGTAATACTTCTCTTCCCTACTCCTTCTCCTTTTTTAATTCAGTTTTTCAGATTATTTCAGCCTGCAGAGTTGTTCTCTCTACTTTGGGTATTTAAACTCCAATCTTACCAATAACCATTTCTTGCTAGGCCAGAAAATACAATTTCCACATTCACGCATCATCTGCTGTATAGCTCTAAAACTGTTTCATGGCCAAAAATGCATGGTTTTGTTCATGGATGATAGGCAGCAGGAGAAGGAGATGAAGAAGCGTATGGCAAATTGATTGGAAAGCATAAACTGGCAGACAGAGTTGGCAGGAAGGTAAGGTGACTGCTCAGGGACTCCGAGGGTTGATACAGTATGAGAAGCCATAATGGAGGTGAAGAAGTATCTCAAGCACTGAGTCCATTTTTATTTGGAGCGGCTCACCATCTTTAGCAGCTTGGATCTTGGAGCCCCTGTGCTTCCAAATGATGGTGGGTGGTGGTGAACTGACCACATTGCAGACTATGTCAGCATCATCGCCTTCATTGAACTCTTGTGGGCTTGGAGCGCTCTGGAAGGTGATCTTTTCTGTAGGGAGGTGTAACAAAAACATACATATGTTTATAAATGTCTTAACTTCACACTTCAAAGGGTGACAACTCTCAGGTGCATTAAAAAAAACATGCAGTGTTACAGTAGCAGAACAATGAGGCACCATATGGCTGAGGTTCTGCCTTTCTAATGGAGGTTTGTTGAATTAGTTTTTATGTAATCATGGTGTGGGAAGCTATTGTAGCGGAGGTAAATACAGTTCAAAGACTTTCAGTCCACAGTGAGACATACAACAGCACTGCAAACAAAATGCAAAGCCCTCAGTCATTTTAATGCTTAACATGGTGGGTGTGTCAAAGCGCAGGGCTATGGCAAAAAAAAAAAAAGCAGCATCATAGAGTAAAAAAGTTGAATCTGGTTCAACCTTAGCCCAAGTTATTAGGCAACGTGTTGTACTGCATTAAACATTGCTCCTTACTTTGACTGTGGTGTCCACTGCAGTTCAGATAATATTACTGATTTGCTTCATGGAAAGACACCTTGTGCCGCTACTCAACCAAAGTCACTCCAAAACTAACACTTACGGAAGATCTTCACTTGGACCGTAGCTTGTGCTTCAATCTCCCCATTTTTTGCCACACACTTGTAGATACCAGCGTTGTCCACATTGGCGTGGTATATAGTGAGAATCGAGGTGGTTTCATCAGCGCGACTCACAAAAATGTCTGGCCTGTTGGCAAGGATCTTCTCACCACTTGGGGAGTACCAGTCTATGTCTTTAGCATCCCCCACCACTGAAAAACAGAAAATGAAGAATGAGGCATGGAAGAGAGAATTCTTTACGTCAGTAGCTATCATACACAAGTAAATGATAACTGCAAAATGTGTTTTTATTGAACATTCTGACATACATACAGTATATTAGTATTTTCGCTATTATACCTCAGCCTAGCAAAGGCTCCTGCTGTTTTATATTTAGATTCAATTTTAACCTCCAACATTAGTTGTAGATCCTGCACCACGGCCCTCTGCAATTCAATACGAAGGAACAATCCAAAGTTAATAGCAGGGGGAAAAAAAAAATCAAGTATTTATTTCACTAGGAAAAACCAAACTGCCCACATCATTTGTTTATTTATTTATTTTTCAAACTGAGTGCAAGCTGAGGCATCTTTTGGTTCCTGGAAACATTACTGCTTTCTCATCATTTAAGGGCCCTAAATGCAGTTTGACTTTATTTTCAACTCGGGAGTTGGAGTTAAAGCTGATGTTCATTCACAGAACAAAAAAAAAAAAAAAAAATCACAAGTACAACAAATGTCAACAAATGTTTCTTATTCCACATAGCAGTCTTCAGTAGCAACAGGTCAACGGGATACCATCTCAGTATTAGGACCATTTTAAAGGGTCATTTTAGTGAAACTAGAGAAAGCTTTTTTTTAAATCTTACAGTATGTATTCATAAAGATAGTTTTAGTTTTATTGTGGTTATTAACACACCTCGGAAATTTCTGTCTTAGCTCTAATATAGTGAAGGTGAATGGGACACTGCTTTTGGTGCTCAAAAGTTTAAAACAAAACCAAAAAATCCCCAGCATTGTCTATTTCCAAAAGCAGTGTCTTCATTAAAGCTAGTGCAGACTGACAACTGCTACAGCTCATAATACAAACATTTATTTATTTATTTTTGTTCCAGACTGTTGTTGGAGAATCCAGAGTGCAATATTCCACTTGATCTCAGATCAGGTGTACAGATTACAGAACAGCTGGAGAGATCTGTGACTTGTGCAAAAAACTGTGATATTGAACAAAGACACGCAGGGAAACACTGCACGTGGGTGTGCCAGCTGCCTTCCTCATTTCTCACACTCAGTTTGTTGCTGCAGTGTATGTAACTGTATATGACTCATCTCCTGTCTCAGATTCGCCTCCGAGGTGCTACAACTACGAGCACGTCTTACTTTTGGTTATGAAAAAAAAGAAATCAAACACACTGGATCCGATTTATCCTACATGCCATTTCTTTTTGTTCATAATTTGAGTGAAGAAACTGCAATTCATAAGCTCGACTTTGTTAAACTGATATAGGTATAACCCCCTGACAGATATGGTTTTATGTTCTACAATGTCAGACAGCTTACTTACTCAACGTAAATACCTGTGTCTGAGATAAGCTGAGTGCACCCCTCTCCCAAGCTCTCTTCTCTACCTGATCCCATTTATCTCCCACTAAACAACTCAGCCAATTTATCTTTTAAAATTTTTTTTATAATTGTCTTTTCTTGAATTTCTTTGATGCTTAATCAGAATCAGAATCTGCTTTATTGGCCAGATGTGTCAGATACATGAGGAATTTGACTCTGGTACATCGGCTCTCAATGTGCATGTACATATTCCCATGCAAGTAAACAGTAAACCAACATAAGGCTAGTATAACAAAATAAGCAGTATTAACAGCAACAAACAGTGCGAGCAATGCAAAATAAGCAGTATAAACAAGTAGTAAACAACAACTCCTAATGAGGATATATTCACACAGTCTCATTATTTAAACTCACTTGTATCACTTTTATGAAATGATCTCAATTAACACTTCATATATTGTTGTAGGAGGTGACATTTGCATCAAGATGTGTTAAATGAAGTATGCTTGATCTCAACCTCACCTTCGCAGAGGAAAAATTTGGACTCTCCTACGCTGATCTCTCCTTGTGCTGGAGTGATTTCCACCTGGATGGCAGCTGAGTAAAGAAAAGAAGATAGAACAAAACATGCATTACTCTGTGCTTTCATTGAGAGGAATGGGGACACAGGGGGCAAAGCACAAAAAAAAAATCAAATAGCTTTGCCTGCTCAAAAGAGCAACCATTTTTCAGGCATACCCTCTATGAATGAAACTCTGGGATGAAATTTTTATGCTCACTAGAATGTGACATCTCCATGTGCAGATAGAGTATGAGACTATATTTTCTACAAAGGCTGTGTTGAACTGCCAGGTTGTAACAGTATAGCTCACTTGCAGAGGGCATATTGTACATAGAAGGCCATGCTGTGAAATCATTAAGAGATACAGCGACTGTGGCAATGCAACTGAATTACCATTGTTGGCTGTCTAGCCTAGACACAGTAATAACATGTGTTTGTTTTATTTGCCATCTATGTCTAGACAGATGGAATAAGCTGCACCCCAAATTGCTGATCAAGGTTATGTTGTATCAAGATGTGTGTGTGGTGTTTGTTTCTCATGGTGTTATGTTGTTTGTTCTCCATTGCTGCTGAAACACTGAAACTTCCCCATTGAGGGATCAATAAAGTACCTACCTACCTACCTACCTACCCGTAGCGCTGGAATTGAATTTATTTGATTCATCAGATTTTTTTTTAATCATTATTTCCTGGTTTGGTTCCACTTAACTAAAAAACTTGGCTTTATATAAAATTCTAAAGTGTAGGCTCTTAAGAAATTATGTACCAGCATTGACAAATGGTTCAGGACAGAATGATAGCAACTGTGTGGCAAATGATTTCCCTATCAAAAACAATATTAAATAATTAGGTATTCTGAATATTTGGTACTTTTATTTTAGGCTTGAGTCCTTTTACAGCAATCTGAAGTACATTCAGTAATCTTATCTAAGAATTTATTTTTTGGCTTAGTGTTTATAAAAGCCATCTGACTGAATCAATCCAAGGTGTTCTCATATTTGTTGTCCCCCTCCCTGCTTCTCTTGGCAGATGATTTAGAAGGCCAAAAAAAAAAAACCCACAAATGAAAGACTTTCCTTTTACTGAAACTATAATGCACTTCATTTCTCAATATCAGCTACAGTAAAACTACTGTGACGTAGGTATTTTAAAAAGGCCCAGGGGTGTCACACCTGGTGTTTGTTCCTCCATGCATGCTAACACATTAGAATGATTACTCCTGCATATTCAGTTATTCAGTGAAAAGTGTTAAAATGTGTAATAATTCTCAAAGCCTAATCAGGAAATCATCACGTACACACCAGTGTGACAAGATATTTGATCATTTTAAAATGCAAGTCGATTTAATTTAAGAGTCCTATCCTTCATCTGGAATGAAAAGCAAAGCAGAAATACAACTGAATCATGATCAGCGTTGGATAGAGAAATCTGATGGAGTCTTCAGCATGTCACCACTTCACACCACAGAAACGAGTGAGTCTCAGCCCGGTTCTCACCAGGAGATTAATAGGAATGGTTTGCGAGGACTTGCCACTCACAGACCGGTAGCCAAGTATTATCATAGCACAATAAGATGTTGGTGTTTCATAATGCAACAAACTCATATCCACAGACGCACATCCATAACTACAAAAACATTCACAGTGATGGACTTTGTTCTTTTTATCCCTACGCAGTTCTACATCACCGTTATGCTGGAAAGCTCAACCTTATCCAAAATATTGGGTAGAGGTGGGTATATACAGCATTTAGCTTGACAGTATCACACTAATACCAATGTTGCTCCTGAGACAATATAGCCTCAACAATTCACTTGTCAGGAAAACATGAATATAAAATAAACAGAACAATCAGCACATGCTATAATTTTCCTGGTCAAGGACCAAATGCTGCTTTCATTATACTATTCAAATTAGTCAAAGTGAGAATAAAACACAGGATCTCTTAAGGCTTATTCAAGAAGTCATACAAACATTGATTGGCAGAAAAACACTGCCCTTGCCACATGAATGACCTTGCTTTTCTTCCAAGCTAGCTTACAGCCTCTAGAGGTACGGAAAACCACTACCCACAGTATGTTTGCTTTTACAGGGTGGAGGTAGATACAAAGAAAACAACATATCCATTTCCTTCCCTCATCTAGTAAGATCATATACAATGCTGCAAACCCTAGCCATGCCTCCTAAGACTAAGACAACTGGCCAAAAAAATCAGCTGATCATATCTGCACCACTAAAGACAACAAAAAGGAGTTCAGGTGGTGTGGGAAAGATAACTATTCCCAGAGCCATTTTCTCAGTATATATCTCTAAGCAGCCACTTGTTCAGTGTCTCCAGGATGAAGTGGCTGTTCAGCCTCATGCCTCGAGCAAAAGGGTGACTTTGTGCCTCTGTTGAGAGCATAACATGATACGTAATAACATGAAGGGTGAAAAGACAAGAGAAGCTCTTAGGCTTAATTACTGAACAAATCCAAAACACTACTTGTCCTTAAAAACCCTTGTTTTTACTCTGATGGACATATTTAATCCTTCAGCATTTTCCAAGTTCAGATAAAGCTTTGTTTACTGAACAGGTTGTTTTTCTGCTCATTCAACTGCCAAATGATGCAGTAATGATTGATCATATTTCTAGAGAATCATGCACAAGCTGAAGTAGTACTGTTATCAAAAACGTTTTCGCTTTAGATAAGATTCCAGGAATTGTGCAACACTTCAGTTTCGTCCAGTTTTCTACCATGTCCTTACTTCTTGAAACTAAAAATCATATACACTGTTCATTTTGAAGTTATTTCATCTTAATGGATCATATTTAAAAATGATATTACTATATGATGATAACATATCTTCTTATGAATGTTCTAATGACCATGGTGATGATAATAATTCATCATAAGCAGAAAGAACTTTCAAGTTTCTCTAAAATTTGATAAAACTACAGAGAGTAATATTCCAAAGAGAAAAGGATATGAGACAAAACACATTTAGAATAAGTCTCTTCAAAATCGCAGCCATCAAAACCAAATTTTCCAAGTACCAGGTGGGTATTTCAAATGTGGAGCTTGTACTTAATGTAATTACAGACTCACTCATCAAAATACAGAAAAAAAAATCCACACAAATGAAGTGAGGGGAGTAATTTAAAGTCTGATCTACAAGTGAGTGAAACATTAAAGAAAAAAAAAAGAATAAATGAGAGTTCTCTTCCAGGATAACAATGCCCCAATCACTGGGGCATGAGGGGTCGCTGAATAGTTTGATGAGGAGTATGAAAACTATGTGAATCACTAGATCCAACCCAAATGTACACCTGTGGGGGATTTTGGGCCGACATGTTAGACAGCATCTCCACCACCATCATCAAAAGTATCTTTTGGAAGAACGGTGCTCGTTCCTCCTGCAGAGTTCAGAGATGTGTAGAATCAGTGCCAAGGTGCACTGAAGCTGTTGTGATGGCATGTGGTGGCCCAGCACCTTATTAAGGCTCTTTAAAGTATGTTGACATGACTGTTAACATGACCATATGGAAAAAAGGATGTGTGGTAACGACAAGAAGAAAACTCAAACACAGTATATTGTCAGAATTGGTTTGTTCTGAACTTGCATAATAACTCTAGCTTGATAACCAAAACTTGCTTTTAATAAACTGTATACTGTATCGAGGGTTGTGTGATTTGTTAAATTTGGATTAACTTGAATTCATGATTTTAGACAATGGCCATTAGTAAATTATAGCATGGGGGGGACCTAGAGTGTGTGAACAAAAAGGTAAATCAAGAGGGTCAGAACCAAATTAGATATTGGGGAATTAACAAAAAAGGATAGAGAGATGTGGTTGGCATGATGAGGAGAGCTTAGATAGAGGATGAAGTGATCTGTGCCTGATGTGCTCACTTAATGACACCAATCTAATATCTGTCCATTAAACCTGTCCTCTCTAAAGGCTCAAACCTCTCCGTCTACACTCGAGAGTCCTTCTTTTACTCTTCATTCAAGTTCCCCTAGTCACATCACCCTGCTCTTACACAAACAAGCATTTCTGCTATCAATCAGATCAGCATATTTTCACAGCGCAGAAGGTGTTTTGGGGGTATGTGGGAAAGAAACATTTGTACAATAAATCCCTTTAAATCTAGGCTTCAGAGAAAACATGTGTCTCTTCCTGTAACAGCAGAAAGCCGCTGGATATTTTTCAGAATTACATCCTCTGTCATATGCATGGCTGCATGTTCCAATTTATGTCATAACACTGATCTATGTGAAAACACAACACACCTACTCCTAGAGTAATATTGGTCTGTGTCATGGTAGCAATTAGACGACCTAGACGCAGACCAAAAACAAGGTGGGTGCATTGAGCAATGAGCAGAGTTTTAATGATAATGACTGAGTACTGGTAAGCAGGTTATTGGCACAAAGGCAGAAAAACAGGGAGACACGGGTATAATTATTAACAATGGAAAGCATTTGAAAACAGAAATACAGAGGATGACTGACACTGGAAGCGATTACACATAAATTGTTACAGGTGGACTAGAAAACAGGCAAATGTAATGGCTAATACTGGGACTAGCAACAGTCATAAAGGTAAGACTAGTGGTAGGCTGGTTCAAGTAAATACAGTAAAGCAGGTATTATAGGTGGCCAGGGATGTTATAACTATATATGTAAGCTCAGATAATGATAATGTAGGTAATATGTCTAATTTGGAAAAGTAACAATAGCACACACAGACAAAACAGATGTCTATAGTGGCAGGCATAGAGTATACATGTAAGAATGTATTATCAGGTCTGTGCCTTCCAATTTTTTGTGTTCTTTTAAGGGGTGCAGATTTTGAATAAAGAGCAGAGCTGTAGAGCTTGAACTTCAATCAGCCTTAAGTCATCAAAAGAAAAACTTGCATTCTCTCAGAAAGATTTAGAAACAATGATAAAGAGTGTATGAAACCAGCATCTATCAGAAGTTTTAATGAGAGTTGAAAAGCTGCGGTCATTTGAGAATTCAGCTATGTCAGTCACCAACTTTAATATACT